CCAAATTTAGCCCAAAAATTCCGAGATAACCCTAATCTTTTATCGCGAAGACATTTGGTTTTAAAGCAAGAGGAAATAGGTCGATTATGGATTCCAAAATTTAAATTCATGTATAATTTTACTCCTTCAGAAGTAATGAAAGAATTAGGGCTAATTGCCTTTTACCGAAAATAATGATGATTTCAGTGGTATAGTTGAAGGGGGTGTTAGAAGAAACGTTTCAAAGATCCTTCAACGTACACAAATTGAATGCAATGAAAGTGGTACAGAAGTAATATGTTGCACTGAAGATTCAGACTCCGATTTGAGTTTTAGTATTTATACTCGGCCAGTTATCAACTTCATTGCTGATCATCCCTTCATGTTTGTGATAAAAGAAGACGTACGAGACATTATATTTTTCCTAGGAGCGATTTTTAATCCTCTTAACAATGAGGACATTAATGAAGACAGCGATGAATATGATGAAGAAGATGTGCCTAACATGACAAGTACAACCTTTCATGAATTCGAAGATGGAGAGTCCGATGAGGATTTATTAGTCCTTTTGATTAATCGAATTTTTATTTTTTTTTTCACGAGAGCAAATGATGAGTACCACCAAAAAGACTTTGACCAATTAAGCTAGTTTGTTGATCATATATATATATATATATATATATATATATATATATATATATATATATATATATATATATATATATATATATATATATTCTGGTTAGTGAAAATAATAATAGAAGTATTACCATATAATTGTGACATATTTTTAAGGACTTTTTGTGAAAAACTACCTTATACAAGTCAATTTTTTTGAAAAACAACCTTATAAAAAAAATGTTGTAAGAAGCTAGCTTTTAAACAATAGATGTTGTAAGAAACTACCTTATGAAACAGTTAATGTTGTAAAAAGTTACCTTTTGCCAAATTATTGTATTGAATAAGAGATGTTAATGACTCTGCCTGTTCACATTTATTGAGCTGAACTGAACTGATTGGAGTTGAACTGAACTGAACTGAACTAATTGGAGCTGAACTGAACCTGAATTGAGCTGAAATGAATATTTTATGGGAGAGGAGCTGAGCTGAACTGAACTGAATGGAGCTGGACTGAACTGAACTGATTAGAGCTGAACTGAACTGAACTGAAATTAAGTAAATGAGAACATACCCTCATTTTCAATCATTTTTTCTCCCTTTTCCACCCAATTTCTCCATAAGCCCCCTTATTATAACCTCTAATTCTCCTTCACTTTCATTGTTAAATTAAGCACATGGTAGTAACTTATTACAACATTTAGTTTTTTTAGAACAACTTTTTTACAAGGTAGTTTTTCACAAAATTTAAGGTATATAAGGTAGTTTTTCACAAAAAGTCCTATTTTTAACACAGTTTATTGTTGTCTGTTTTTTAAATTTTCCTTCGATTGTGAGTGATAATTATTATTTTATTTTCGTATTAATAATACATATCCTTATTCGAGTTTGGAATTCATGTGAGCTTTGAGATGTCTAACACAGTATGTGAAAAGTGAATTAGATCGAGATATTTAGGAATACAACAATTATTATAACATACAAGCACATTATTATTCACCTACATCATTTAAACCAGTGTTATTCATGTTATCCATTCATAGCATATAGTAGTTGGGTCTTCAGCAGGATCGGAGTTTGGTTACTATTAATATCTTAGTAGTCACCTAATTGCAATTAATTAAGCATGTTAATTCAAAAGTGAATCATGCATGTTTCAAATTTCTTTTAGCAATTATGGAGCCCAAGACAAAACCTATATGCAACATTGCAACTTCCCTCAAGGTTCTTTTGTCCATTACAAACAATGTCTTACAAATTAAGACTTCTATCTGCGCATAATCGTCAATATGAACATAACTTAAATCAGATAACTCGTACTTTTAAACAATTTCCTCGCGGTGAAAAAAGATGAGAAGCTAATTCTTTTTACACTAGAACAAACACAAACGCAATATACTTGGTGCATTTAATTTGTTTTTGAATAGTAAAAGAAATTCATTATTATTATGTCATACGACATCTAAAAAAAATTCGACTTTAACAAATACATAAGCGGAGTGTAGCAAATTGATTCACATTAATGTTTCAATTTGAAGTATTACATACCCTAAATAATACTACTCACTATAAAAATATAAAACTCATGCATGTGCTTTCATATCTAAATTTGTTTTACATAGTCAAGTATTTACACCTTAAAAATGGTACATATTCTTATAATAGTAATAACTTTATTCCTTTGTTATTCTTACCTTAACTCAATAATCATTCAATCTCTATAGTCCAAGTCAAAAAAGCTTAATTTAAGTTACCCAAAATAACATAAACATATAGATAGTCATCATCTAACCACTAAAAACCCTCTTTTTAACCATTTTGAGTACATGATAGTTGGGTATACTGCAAGTTTTTACTTGCTATTTTTAAATTTCAATTTAAATAAACTTCATTAAATTATTCTATATAGTACTGTAAGATATATAAAATGAAAGTTCATACAATAAATAGTCCAATAATCTTATTAAATTATGGAACAGCAAATAGCTGATCAAGAAAAAAATATCAATAGTGAGTTACAAAGAAGGAGAGGTAGACCAAAGAAATTTAATTCAATAATTATGAGCAAGAAAAATATTAATAATAGTGGTGTAATTATAGATGAAGATAAAAAGATTAGGACTTTGGATGATATTGATCAAGATGCTGCTGCTGCTTTTGTTACTGATACTACTCAAGCTGAAGAGTCCACTTCCCGAGCTGGCGGCCGTGAGGTGGTTATTGCTGTTGGAGATGTCACCAGCAAGCCTAGGACAACCAATGCCGTCCCTAAGGTCGTTCCTACTAGACGACGTCGTAAGAGTAATCCTAGACGTTCACCCTTGGCTTAACTCCTAGATAGTATGGAGCATGCATTTTTATTTTGTCTAATTATGATTTTAGTCATACTAAGCTATTTACATATAATTACATGAAATAATTTTGTGTTAAGTTTCTTAGTATGTATAATTAAGATTTCATCAACTCATCATAAATTAGAATTGAAAGAGATAATTATTTGCATTTGGATGATACAATGTAACATGGCATATCGTCTAGGTGAATTATAACGCGATTTGATAACAAAATTGCTCCATTAATTAATTAATATTGCGTCGAGTATTGGGTGATCAAACTTTGTATCCAAATTGAGAGTTAAATTTAATTGTTGCACTGTTTATTTTTTAGTATTGATTTTTTAGGTCTTATTGTATTATCAAGCTTGATTTTAAGGTGTTTAGAGAGCCACAAAGACAGAAATGAAAATCGATCCCAAGGATTTTTTGAAAACGAGAGGGAAGCTCAAACTACTTGAGCTATCCGTCATTCTCTATTATTAAGCTTGGTCATTGTTAGTAAAAGCAGTAGTGTGTAAATGTGTAATACTAATTTATATTTCGAATACTCATCCATCATCCAGCTACCAAAATTCATGAGCTAACTCACAATTAATCTATTTACATGATGTTTTTACCTTGCTTCAGCTCCTGTGGCCTGGATTCGATTAGACTCGAATTTTTTCCTTAAGTAGGAATTAAGAAATAAATATCGGAAAATATATTGATGCATTATACCTATCAATCTACCATATTTGATATTATGAGTTTAGAATGTATGCAATTATGCAAACAATATTCTTTGAATCTTTGGGCAATAGATTATGCTCAATTCTGTTACAGAATTACAGTACATCTTTAAAGCATCATATATTCATATTCATACAGTAATACTTTTACTTTAGTGCAAATGACATTATTACTTCGTACATCTTTAGGGGACAATTCTTTCCCTAATTTCTACCAACTTCTAATAGTAATAAAACACGTGAAACCATCAAACCATAGAGTAATTGATTTGATACCATAAGCTTTTTCTAGTAAAAATCCAAAGAACCATTTCAATCTGATTTGATTTCTAGTGTCTCCCTTAAATGATTAGAACCATTTCAATCTGATTTGATCCGATCTGATCCAATCCTACCAGTAATTGTTATGACAATCACAACTCTTGCGCCTTGGCTATACTCGCTTGCTACTCTAAAAACTAATTACTACATGCTTAGCATGTACTTTAACAATGGCGGAAAATTTTCCTTTAAGAGCATCAAAGATAGTCCAAGAACTAGCTACTAAAGGCGGCGATATACCAGAAGAGTACCTCTACAAAGATGGCTACCCTAATGCCATTGACGCTCCTGATGATCTATGGAGAGATGATCTTCTCATTGATTTCTCTCTTCTCTCCTCTTCCTCAGCTCCAGAACTCGAAAAGCTCCGATCAGCCCTTTCTCAATGGGGTTGCCTTCAGGAACGCTTTTCTCCTAGCTCAAACGTGTGATTTTAGATTATACAAAGCACAACTACGTTGAATGATCCCCCAAAAAAACTCGAAACATAAAATGAGACTCACTGAAAAGCTGATTGAAGTTTAAATTATTTTACTCAGTTTTTTTTTTTTTTTTTTTTTTTTTTTTTTGCACTTAAAATTTTTTAATCAATTCAATAGGTCATAAACCATGGAATAGAGAGCTCATTTCTGGAAGACCTGATTGAAGTTTCTAAGCAATTCTTCGCGCTTCCCTTAGAGGAGAAGTTCAAGTGTTCTGCAGCAGATGAAATCTTTCAAGGTTATGGCAGTGATTCACTTACTTTTGGGACTCAAACTCGCAATTGGAATGATAGGCTGCTTCTTTTTTTCTATCCTAAGGAAATTGTCAGGCGTCAGTGCTGGCCACAGAAGCCTGTGAAATTCAGGTAATAAACCTTAAAATTCCTACTTCATATCAAAGTTTGTTTATTTTCGACGTCAGTACTAGATTGTGAGTATGGCTGCCGAATTTTGGCAGTGCAATGATAGAAGAGTATGCAAAGAAGATAGCAACTGTGAATACAGTCATTTGTAAAGCAATGGCAAAGTCACTTAACTTGGAAGAAAACAGCTTCAAATCTGGGAAACAAGGACCAAAAATAGCAAGGTTCAACTTCGTTTCTCGATACCCATGCATGCCCGGAACGTGTTCTTGGGGTCAAACCTCATTCGGATGGCTCAACGATCACATATCTCTTGCCAGATAATGAGGTTGATGGTCTCCAGATTTTGAAAGGTGATCAATGGTATAAGGTCTCAGTCGTCCCAGGCGCGCTGTTAATCAACTTGGGTGAATTAGGAGAGGTAAGTGTGCTGTCTGCACATTCACAGCAAACTCATAAGATAAAAATAAAAAGTTAAATACAACCAACTTATTCTTTTCGATTGTAATGTTTGCACTTTGCAGGCAATGACTAATGGGGTGTTTAAGAGCGTGGTGCACAAGGTGAGCACGAACTCTGTAAAGGACAGGATGTCAGTGGCCATGTTCTTCTCCCCAGACGACGAGGAAATCAAACCCCTAAGCGGACTGGTTAGTGCTGACCAGCCTCAACTCTACAAGAATATTAACATGAATGAGTACATGCAGAAACTAAATGAAAGCTTTAGGCTAGGGTCAAGAGCAATTGATGCATTCCAAGTTTAATATCTACTGATAAGTATAAAACTCGTTCAAGTCCAGTTTCATGGGTGTTTGTGCTGTTTAGAAAGAGGTGCATCCTACACAACTTTACTGTTGGGTGTAATTAAGATAATTTATGTTACTCAAACTCGGGTACTCATATAAGACACTTGTATGTGTGAATTTATTATTTGGCTTACTGGCTACTAATTCATGAATATTTTTCATGTTCTTGGTATAAATTGAAGTGTCATGTGTTTATAGTTTATACCCGTAGTATGGCCAGAGGATTGCAAGCAACATACTTGCATATCGGTGCTCAAACTGTTCTTAACATTTACAATATAACAGTTTGTCCTAAATAGGCGTGGGTTGCACGGCTGCACCCATTAATGAGGAGAGTCTAAGCACATACAATCTCATCATCCAAAAATTAGGAAGTTTAGATTAATACTCTCCCAATCTACCACTTTCCAATGCGGGACAACACTTTCCACTCATAAGAAATTTAGCAATCAGATTCACAAGCAGTGGACCAATAATATTAGCCTAGGCCCCAAAAGGTCAAAACATGAACAGAAGCACTAGAATGCCCTAGCGTGATATCTGCCTTTCTACAAAGACAAAATACTAATGGCCAAAATAATTCAACCTCCATCAAGATATGAAACTAATTATTCAACTAGTAGTGATTATACTGTTATTATACTTGGAATCAAACAGGCCACCAACTAATGATATTCTGCATCAATATAATAATCACAAAAGATACAGAAGCGTAGAAGTTGACACAAAATTATCTTATGTGTTTTACTGTATACTACTCCGTACAGCCGTACTAGTCTATTAATACAGTAGCAACGACAGAAGTTCTTCCTTAAACAAGAATTAGAATCAATGCTAGTTCAACAGATGAACAGATAGCTAAAAAGGAGATAAATTACAAGAGGAAGGGGGAGCCCCAGTTGATCAATTAGATCAACAAATTTTGTCAAGCTATGCTTAGTCACTATTTAGTCACTGCTTAGTCATTAAAATAGACAATTAATATTCCATTGAAGCTTCAACCTTCCTTCCACCGACACATCCCACTTCCTTCCACCGACACCACCAATTCCACCATGCCGACACCATCTGCATCACCTCCTTCCACCGACACCATCTGCATCATCTCCACTTTTCACAGAAACAATAATTTTCTACCGACGACATCACAGCGGCTTCGCCGCCAAATGAAACGAAATCCCTATGTTAAAAAGGTGAAATTAAGGGCATGGTTAACCCTAAAGGGAAGGTGTTTACTCTCCTCTATTAATGCTACCCTTGGAGCTTTAATTTCTGCCAGACAAGTTCGAAATTCGCTAATTTAAAAAATTAAAGAAAGGACTTCATATTGTGGCCACCACCGACGCCATCTTGCTGGTGGTTGCCGACTAGACCTGGTTATTGGGTGGATCGGGTCAGGGTCGGTTGCGGGTCAAGGTCAAAGAGGGTCACATTTTATAGGGTCAATATAGGGTTGGGCTAATGCGGGTCGCGGGTCGATAATGGGCGGGCCTACAAAATATCAATTAAAATAAATATTGGACAAAGCCATTATTAAATACATATGAATACAAATTAATCTATACAATTATTTTTACATTATGTATTTTCTTTATCAACTAAATTGGAAAAACATGTTGGCCCTATATTGACCATACCCAATAAGGGCCCTGTCCATTAATAGCCCTGTCCATTAAAAGCCCTATAAGCTTGGCCCTGACCCTATTATCATTGGACTACCCTGTCCAATAACCACCTCTATTGCCGACAACAAGGGCGTCACAGTGGTGGTGGTGGTTATGGTCACTGCGTTAGGCCATGAAGCTTAGTGGTTATGGTGGTGGTTGGGTTTACCGTTTCACTGGAAAATGATGATGGTGATTGTGAGTTGGCAATTTTATCTAATCATGCTTATGCTTTTACGAAATTGTCCAATACTAAATGAAGGAAAAACCTAAAATGCCCTTATGATTGACAATTTTTGTTAATCTAGTAGATCAACATGAATTTCCTCAAATATTAGGCCTCACATGAGAAAGGGTTCTCTCATAAAGGAGGGGTTCTCACTATATATATGTATCGGAGTATATATGTCTAGGCAGCAGCTAATACAACTATAAGTCTATAACCATATTACTATCACTACATAATAAGTAGTACTATTAGTCTACTAAAATGGCAATGGCACAAGTTTCTCCCTTGACCAAACAAGAACTAGCATCAAAATTAGTTCAGGAGATAGCTAAAAAAGGAGATGAAATACCAGAGGATTTTTTCCGCAAAGATGATTTCCCTGAAGCCATTGATGCCCCTGATTTGTGGAGAGGTGATTTGCTCATTGACTTTTCCCTTCTCTCTTCGTACTCTGAACCTGAACTTGCAAAGCTCCGATCAGCTCTCTCCAAATGGGGTTGCTTTCAGGTAAGCTTAATTTCTTCCTGCCTCTCTCGTTCATTCTATCTTTCTACAAAACATGAAGTAAATCACTGTTTCTTTTGCAAACAGTTGAACAACCTAATTTTGACAAGCATATGAGAAAATACTAGTAGTAAATTAACCATTGGCAGGATAGTAAAAAGAGCATTTGAACCAATCATAAAAGTACACTAAATGAACAATGAGAATCACTTCAGTGATAAAATTCAAGAGTACGATACTTAGATTCAAAATTTAAAACTTGTACTTTTTATTCAACATTTCCAGTTTTCTATTAATTAAACAGCTCATAAATCATGGGATAGAAGTCTCATTCCTTGAAGAATTTATTGAAGTTTCCAAACAATTCTTCGCACTTCCCTTAGAGGAGAAGCTCAAGTACTCAGCAGCAGATGACATCGATCAAGGGTATGGCACAGATTCAGCTTATTCAGGCTCTCAAATACGAACTTGGAATGATAGGCTACTTCCTTTTCTCCTTCCTAAGGAAATAGTCAGGCTTGAATGCTGGCCACAGAAGCCAGTGAAATTCAGGTAATAAACTTTAGATTCCTAACACCATGTCAACATCAGTACTGAGACTCTGAGAGTAACTTCGTGAGTATTGGCAGGGAAATGATAGAGGAGTATTCAAAAAAGATATCTAAGGTCAATAAGGTCCTCTGCAAAGCAATGTCAAGGTCACTTGGCTTAGAAGAAAACTGTTTAGGTTAGGAAAACATGGACCAGCAGTAGCAAGGTTCAACCTTTATCCTCGTTGCCCATGTCCTGAACATATTCTTGGAGCAAAACCTCACTCAGACCACACAATGATCACGTATCTCTTGCCAGAAGTTGAAGGTCTCCAAATCTTAAAAGATGGTCAGTGGTACAAAGCCGCAGTCATCCCAGGCGCACTGTTTATCAACTTTGGTGATTTAGGAGAGGTAAGTGTGCTCTCTGCACATTCACAGCAAACCAAAAGAAGGAAAACTAACCATTTTTTTCCCACTTATAAGTTACTTGAAATACAATGAAACCAAAGGATTGTCATGTTTTTACTTTGCAGGCTCGCACTAATGGAGTATTTAAGAGTGCAGTGCACAGAGTGATCACAAATTCTGCAAAAGATAGGATATCTGCAGTCATGTTTTTCAACCCTGATGATGATGAAGTTGAACCCCTAAATGAATTGATTAGTGCTGATCAGCCACAACTCTACAGGAAAATTACCATGAAAGAGTATACGCCAAAAATCTTTGAGATTTTTAGTCTAGGCTTAAGACCACTTGATGCATTCAGAGTTTAATACCTACTCTTCATTAGAGTATAACCCATTCTATTTCATTTGTACTTTACGTTTTCAATAGTGGCATCGAACAGAACTTTTCTTCTGAGCTTGATAAGAATTGTTCATTAGTACACTATGTTACTTGGACTCGGGTGCTCAGCGTGTACGTGTTCCAATATGTTAGCGTCAATTATCTGGCAATTGAAGTAAATTAATTAGTGAGGGTAACATAGGGAGCACTACATGTGCACTTTTGTACCCATGAAATGACTGACAGTAACATAAAATTATTTGAAGGGCAATGAAAAAATCAATCAACTTAAAAGATGATTGCTACTTAAATAGAAGAAAATAAGAACCGACAAAAGCAAGGTCTAACCAAATATCCTCCTAGCTCATGCCCATGCCCATGACCTCTTTTGCTAGAGAAAGAGGCCAATGGTCTAAAATCATCAAAGATGATGACCAATGCAAAATGTTACAAGGTCTCGGTCATTCCAGGGGCACTACTTATCAACTTTAATTTGGTAACTTGGGGGAGATACAATTGAAATGATTGCACTTTAATTTGCAGGTAGCAACTTGTCGGGTGTTCAAGAGGGCAAGGCACAGGGTGGATAAGAAATCAGAAGACAGGATATTTATGGCCATGTTTTTCTCCCGGAAAGAGGATTATGCAATTGAAACTCCAAGTGAACTGATTATTAGTGCTCATTGTCAAGTTTGCAAGAAGTTCAACACCAAGTCTATGACTCTATGCCAGCATGAAATACCACTCGTTATATTGACCACCAGATACTTTATAACAATTTAGATAATTAAGCCCAAAACATGAGCAGAAGCACTCAAAAAATGGGCATTTAATAACCACAGATGGGCACTCAGGTAAGTAAAGGAAGTATAAAGTCGAGTGTATCACATATCCCTTAACTTCATACCAATCAAAGCTTGTCTGACTTGATAAGACTTATACCTTAGATCCTAGAGGTTTGGGGTTCGTATCTTATCATGTGAAGGTTGCTAGGAGGTAGAAATCCCCTTATCTTCCCTCCCTACTTCTATGTTCCAGGCCTGCAAATACCCTTAAGTCCTTAACTTCATACACTAATGGAAAAACTCATTTATTTGCTTGGGTAGCATATCCCATGAAATTGAAAGAGTATCATAATTTCACAAAAACCAAGGAACCTACAAAGGGAATCCAAGCATATAATTAAAGTAGAATATATCTAAGCAAGAGGTAGCTGTAATCAAACTTGGAATACTGGATCAAGAGGGAGGCAAAATGAGTGATGACATACCAGAAAAATTCTGCACAAAGGTAGTTTTGATGAAGCCATTGTTCATGCCCTTAACTTATGGTTTCATGAATAGCAGATAGTAAGCTCTTTGAACTCTACTCTATTTATTCCACAGTACCTGCTGCCGGAGCTGAACTCATCGAGCTCTGATCAGCCCTCTTTAACTGACAGATGTACATGCTCTCAATCACAACTAGGAAGAAAACCCATCAAAAAAATTAAATGAAATCAGTGGTTTTATATTACCCTACTCAAATTTATATCAATAATGATTGCACTCTACATTGCAACCCAAACTCAGCAGATCAAATCTATAATGAATATCCAATTAAAAAAGCGTGATTGCCTAACAAGTTATGTAACTAACTCCAAGCAATACATCAATAATCCCTGATTAAAAATGAAATCCAGGCAGCGTTGCAGTTTATTTTTTAAAGGTGCCCCTCAAAAGTTGTTTAATGATCAATAAGGCGATCAGTGTGACTCTATTCATTCATATTTTTTGAAAAGAGTGTAGACCTTGCAGAGTACTTGATGCATTCAAAATGGTGAATCTTCTATCTTTAAGGGTAAAACTAGTTTGCATTTGACTGTCAAGCATGTTTGTAGTCTTGTAGAATAGAACTTCAGATAGAGTAAATCAATTTGTTTCTGAGTTCAGTTAGCATTGTATACCTTTACACTTATTAAAAAGCTAAATCCTACAAATCATAAAATACTAGCAATGTCTAAGCTACTACCAAGACTCAAGAGGGAAAAATCACAACGTGAATCACTTGAGTATTATTATATGGTTTCGAACAAATGAAATGATTGCATAAAAAATCAGCAAGATTAAACGACCAAAGACAATATCATCTCTAAGAAAGCATGAGATACTATTGGGAAATCATTATAAGTGGATCACAATAATTAGGCGAGTAAAATATTAGGCCTCCCTAATGCAGTAAAATATTAGGCCTCTTCAACATGTACTTAGGCGAGTTAGGCCTCATGCAGTAAAATATTAGGCCTCTCCAAAATATACTTCGGCCTCCCTAATGTCCTTCCTAATGCAATTACTACCCAAATTTAAAAAGTACAAAGTTTTATACTTAAATTTCTTATAACAAATTCATAATAACATGCTCGATTGAAATCAACCAATAAAAAAAATAAAATAAATAAAAAAACATAAAAACTGTTTTTGCAAAAGAAACTTCAAGCTATAAAACTGCCAAGAAAACATACGCATAATTGATTTCAATCCTCTGTCCATGGTAATTTGGTAAGTGTGATCCAGAGCCTTCTAACTGAAGACAAAATCACCAATGGTCAGCCATCTTAACTTTTTAAAATTATCATTTAATTTATAAACACATGGAAAACACCGTCACAGACACCAAATTAGTTTGAATTTCTTTATAAAGTAGTGTCTACATTTGGCATGCAAGTAAATTACAAAAGAAAAATATTGATTGTATTACCTAACAAAATTAAAAATAACAAGGAATTGATTTGCTGCATCGGCGAGTGGTAATTGTGCTTTGTCAGCTAGTATTAAAAGTAATCAATAATTGATTTGTTTTATCAGCTAAGACACAATTGCTAATACAGAGTATTATTTATTCTCTTATTTTTAGTTGTTCAACTGCAACTAGCAAATTTGCCAACATACATTTTTGACTATTACTATCTTCAATAATCTTTTATGATCAGCTTATAAAAGGTTGATTTTAAAATAAAGCCGAGATGAATCCAATAACATTTAACATCATAATATTTTTAAATATGTGTAATTTTAACTCTGTTTCATATTATTTGCAACAAATAATTTCTTTCTTTTTTAAGTTGTCGTTTCTCTCTATCTATCTCCTCATCACATGAATTCATATTTCTCTCTTTACTATACACTCACAAACAAATTTTTTCCAGGAAACTGTGCAGCCTCCAAAGTTGCAAATAATATGAAACGGAAATACTCCCTTGACTACAAAACAATAACATGGTCAAAGCAAAATTAATAAATAGTGTCAAAAGTCAAATCCGAACAACTAATGAAATGGACAGAGTATCAAATTTTGAAACAGACAACAATTTAAATTCTGCATCCAAATGATACGAGTAATCAGACTGATCACATAAATTACAAAAGCCCAGAAAATTCATTCTTCAAGCATATCACATGAACCTGATTCTATAAATATATGTTTAGACAACAGCTAATACAACTATATCACTAAATAAGTAGTTCTATAAATCTACTAAAATGGCAATGACAGGAATTGCTCCCTTGACCAAACAAGAACTAGCGTCAAAATTAGTTCAAGAGATAGCTAAAAAAGGAGATGAAATACCAGAGGATTTTTTCCGCAAAGATGGTTTTCCTGAAGCCATTGATGCCCCTGATTTGTGGAGAGGTGATTTGCTCATTGACTTTTCCCTTCTCTCTTCGTACTCTGAACCTGAACTTGCAAAGCTCCGATCAGCTCTCTCCAAATGGGGTTGCTTTCAGGTAAGCTTAATTTCTTCCTGCCTCTCTCGTTCATTCTATCTTTCTACAAAACATGAAGTAAATCACTGTTTCTTTTGCAAACAGTTGAACAACCTAATTTTGACAAGCATATGAGAAAATACTAGTAGTAAATTAACCATTGGCAGGATAGTAAAAAGAGCATTTGAACCAATCATAAAAGTACACTAAATGAACAATGAGAATCACTTCAGTGATAAAATTCAAGAGTACGATACTTAGATTCAAAATTTAAAACTTGTACTTTTTATTCAACATTTCCAGTTTTCTATTAATTAAACAGCTCATAAATCATGGGATAGAAGTCTCATTCCTTGAAGAATTTATTGAAGTTTCCAAACAATTCTTCGCACTTCCCTTAGAGGAGAAGCTCAAGTACTCAGCAGCAGATGACATCGATCAAGGGTATGGCACAGATTCAGCTTATTCAGGCTCTCAAATACGAACTTGGAATGATAGGCTACTTCCTTTTCTCCTTCCTAAGGAAAGAGTCAGGCTTGAATGCTGGCCACAGAAGCCAGAGAAACTCAGGTAATAAACTTAAGATTCCTAACATCATATCAACATCAGTACTGAGACTCTGAGAGTAACATCACGAATATTGGCAGGGAAATGACAGAGGAATATTCAAAAAAGATATCAACGGTCAATAAGGTCCTCTGCAAAGCAATGTCAAGGTCACTTGGCTTAGAAGAAAACTGCTTAGAGTTCGGAAAACATGGACCAGCAATAGCAAGGTTCACCCTTTATCCTCGTTGCCCATGTCCTGAACGTATTCTAGGAACAAAACCTCACTCAGACCACACAATGATCACGTATCTCTTGCCAGAGGTCGAAGGTCTCCAAATCTTAAAAGATAGTCAGTGGTACAAAGCGTCAGTCATCCCAGGCGCACTGTTTATCAACTTTGGTGATTTAGGAGAGGTAAGTGTGCTCTCTGCACATTCACAGCAACCCATAATAATAACAATTAACCATTTTGTTTACACTTATAAGTTACTTGTAATACAATGAAAGAAAAGGATTGTTATGTTTTTACTTTGCAGGCTCGTACTAATGGACTATTTAAGAGTGCCGTGCACAGAGTGACCGCGAATTCTGCAAAAGATAGGATATCTGCAGCCATGTTTTTCAACCCAGATGATGATGAAGTTGAACCCCTAAATGAATTGATTTGTGCTGATCAGCCACAACTCTACAGAAAATTTACCATGAAAGAATATAGGCCAAAAATCTACGAGAATTTTAGTTTAGGCTTAAGACCACTTGATGCATTCAAAGTTTAGTACCTACTACCTACTCTTCATTAGAGTATGACTCATTTCCATTCTATTTCATGGGTGCTTTACTTTTTTAAAAGAGTGGTAACAGAACTTTTCTTCTGAGCTTGATAAGATTGTTCGTTAGTACACTTAGTGTGTATATGTTCCAATATGTTAGTGTCAATGATGTTAATTAATTAGTTCGAGTAATATAGGGAGCACTATATGTGCACTTTTTTACCCATGAAATGATTGACGTAACATAAAATTATTTAGAGAAGATTGCTACTAAACCAGAAGAAAAGAAGAACCAACAAAAGCAAGGTCTATCCACTATCCTCCTAAGTCATGTCCATGACCTCTTTTTCTAGAGAAAGAGGCCAATGGTCACAAATCATCAAAGATGATCAATTCAAAATGTTACAAGGTCTCGGTCATCCCAGGGGCACTATTTATCAACTTTAATCTGGTAACTTGGGGGAGATAAGATTGAGATGATTGCACTTTGCAGGTAGCAATTTATCGGGTGTTCAAGAGGGCAAGTCACAGGGTGCTATGAAATCAGAAGGCAGGATATTTGTGGCCATGTTTTTCTCCCGGAAAGAGGATAATGAAATTGGACCTCTAAGTGAACTGATTAGTGCTCATTGTCAAGTTTACAAGAAGTTCAACATCAAGTCTATGACTCTATGCCAGCATGAAATACCACTCGCAATATTGACCACCAGATACCTTTTAACAATGTAGATAATTAAGCCCAAAACTTGAGCAGAAGCACTAAAAGATTGGGCATTTAACAACCACAGATGGGCACGCAGGTAAGTAAAGGAAGTATAAAGTTGAGTGTATCACATATCCCTTGACTTCATACCAATAAAAGCTTGTCTCACTTGGTAAGACTTTTACCTTAGACCCTAGAGGCTAGAGGTTTGGTGTTCGTATCTTATCATGTGAAGGTTGCTAGGAGGTGACAATCTCCTTATCTTCCCTCCCTACTTCTTAGTTCCAACCGCAAATGGCGCAAATACCCTTAAGTCCTTAACTTCATACACTAATGCCAAAACTCATTTTTGAAATGCTTGCGTAGCATATCCCATGAAATTGAAAGAGTACCATGATTTCAGGATAAAAAAAATAATAAAAATAAAAATAAAACAACAACAACAACAACAACAACAACAACAACAACAACAACAACAACAACAACAACAACAAAAACAACAACAAAAACCTATAAATGGAATCCAAGCATATAATTAAAGTGGAATATATCTAAGCAAGAGGTAGTTGTAATCAAAGTTGAAATACTGGATCAAGAGGGAGGCAAAATGAGTGATGACATACCAGAGGAATTCCTGCACATAGGTGGTTTTGATGAAGCCATTGTTCATGCCCTTAACCTATGATTGTATGAATAGCAGTTTATATAGTAAGCTCTTTGAAAGCTAGTTTTTTTTTTTTTTTTTTTTCCACAGCACCTGCTGCTGGAGCTGAACTCGTATAGCTCTGATCAGCCCTATTTAACTGACAGGTGTACATGCTCTCAATCACAACTAGGAAGAAAACCCATCAAAAAAAAAACAAAAAAAAAACAGTGATTTCATAATAACCTACTTAAATTTATGTTATTCATAACCATAAATAAAGCTTGCACTCTACATTGCAACCCAAACTCAGTAGATCAAATCTACTTCCTTCGTTTTTAAACAGATGCATTACTTTCTATAAAGGGAAGTTTCTATTTAGATGCATCACTTTCCCTTTTAGTCAATAAATTCTATCTACCTTTATCTTATCACATGGGCCTCTTTAAATTATTGGCCAAGGCTCCAATACTTAGGCCTCCCTATTGCAGTAAAATATTAGGCCTCTTCAAAATATACTTCGTCCTCCCTAATGTCCTTCCTAATGCAATTACCACCCAAATTTAAAAAGTACAAGATTACAACCACCAAAGACAATATTATCTCTAAGGACATGCTTGGATTGAGGGAAATGTATTACTAGGGTAATAAAATCCAAACTAAGGAGAATGAAAATGAATATAGGGAAGGAGGAGATAGTGATAGTGTGCTTGTCATAAAAAATATGTAGTGATGGTGAGGTATGAGGTGAAGAAAGAGGCTCATTTTGTGGGTAATAATCACACTAGGGGGAGGGTGTGTAACACCATACCTCCTACTACAACACCTCTAATTACTTATTTTTTTCAAGTTTGACTTTTATTACCCCCTAATATATTACCCTCAATCCAAGCATGCCCTAAAAAAGCATGAGATTTTGTAGGGAATTCATTATAATTGGAGCACAATTATTGGCAAAGGCACCAAAACTTAGGCCTCCCTAATGCATTAAAATATTAGGCCTCTTTAAAATACACTTAGGCCTCTTGAATATAAGCTTCGGCCTCCCTTATGTCCTTCCTAATGCAATTACCACCCAAATTTAAAAAGTACAAAGTTTAATACTTAAATTTCTTATACTTGTAATAAAGTCATAAAAACATGCTCGTTTGAAATCAACCGATAATAATAAAGAAAAAAAATCACACATAAATGTTTTTGTAAAAGAAACTTCAAGCTATGAAACTGCCAAGAAAACATACGCATAATTGATTTCGATCCTCTATCCATGGTAAATTGGTGAGTGTGATCCAGAGCCTTCTAACTGAAGACAAAATCACCAATGGCCACAAAATTCCAACCATCTTGATTTTTTAAAAATAATCATTCCATTTATAAATGCATCGAAAACACCGTCACAGACACCAAGTTAGTTTAAATTTCCATATAAAGTAGTGTCTACATTTGGCATGCAAGTGAATGACAAAAGAAAACTATTGATTGTATTACCTACCAATATTAAAAATAATCAAGAATTGATTAGCTGCATCAGCGAGTGGTAATTGATTTGCTTTGTCAACTAGTTTTAAAAAGTAATCAATAATTGATTTGTTTTATCAGCTAGGACATAAGTTACTGATACTGAGTATTATTTATTCTCTTATTTTTAGTTGTTCAACTATAACTAGCAAATTTGCCAACATACATTTTTGGCCATTAGTGTCTTCAATAATATTTTATGATCGCCTTATAATAGGTTGATTTAAAAAATAAATTGAGATGAATCCTACAACATTTTACACCATAATATATGTGTAATACTACCTCTGTTTCATATTATTTGCAACTTTTGCCAAAAATAGATGCTACACATTGTTTACAACAAATAATTTATTTCGTGTTTCTCTATCTATCTCCTCATCACATGAATTCATATTTCTCTTTCTACTTACACTCACAAACAAATTTTATCTAGGAGACTGTGCGGCCTTCAAAGTTGCAAAAAATATGAAACAGAAGTACTCCCTTGACTACAAAACAATAACATGGTCAAAGCAAAATTAATAAATAGTGCCAAAAGTCAAATCCGAACAACTAATGAAACGGACAGAGTATCAAAATTTGAAACAGGCAACTATTTAAATTCTGCATCCAAATGATACGAGTAATCAGACTGATCACATAAATTACAAAAGCCTAGAAAATTCATTCTTCGAGCGTATCATATGAACCTAATTCTATATACAGTATATATTTAGAACACATGATTTATATATATATAGGGGAAGGCTCTCGTGAGAATTTCTCCTTTATGTGAGAACTCTTTCCTATATGAGAACACTCTCATGTTTTAAATTTTAAATCTCATGTTCTAAATTTCAAATCATGTGTTCTAAATCTTAAATTAGCTAAATCAAATGTTTTTAATTATTACTCATATGTTCTAAATCTTAAATTATTTGTTCTAAATTTTAACTTATGTGTTTTAAATTTTGAATTGTGTTCTATGATATTAAATTATATATTCTAAACTATTACTCGTATGTTCCAAACTTTTACTCACTTGTTCTAAATGTTACTCATTTTGTTTTAAATTTAAAATCGGGTGTTCTTAATTTTTATTCATATATTCAAAATCTTAAATCAGATGTTATTATTTAATTTTCTAAAATTTAAATCAGGTTTTTTAAATTCTAATATAAATCCAAAATCAGATGTTCTAAATTATTACTCACTTAGATGTTCTTAATTATTACTCACGTGTTACAAATTATAAATCACGTGTTCTGAAGTTTAAATAATGTGTTCTGAATTTTTAATCACATGTTCTAAATTTTAGATTAGTTCTCATATAAGTATATTTTCTCACATATGGGTCTATTCTCACCGAATATATATATATATATGTAGGGGAGGGACCCGGTGAGAATAGGTCCATATGTGAGAATTCATACTTATATGAGAACTGATTTAAAATTTAGAACATGTGAGTAAAATTTTAGAACATGTGAGTAAAAATTTAGAACATGCGAGTTAAAATTTAGAACATGTGACTCAAATTAAAATTCTGAACATATGAGTAATAAATTAGAACATTTGTGTGAGTAATATGTTTAGAACATCTTATTTTAGAATTAGAAAGTGATTAAAAATTTTAAAAAATTGCTTTATGAAATTTTAAACATATGAGTAAAATTTAGAACATCTGACTTAAGATTATGAACATGTGAATAAAAATTTAGAACAAACTGATATAGAATATAGAAAGTGTGAGTAAAGAATTTAGAACATACGTGTAAAAAAAAATAGAACATACGTTTTAAAATCTGGAACATATAATTAAAAATCTTAGAACACACGTTTTAAAATTTAGAACATATAAGTTAAAATTTTGGAACAAGTTATTTAAAATTTATGACATCAAACTTAACTAATTTATGGTTTAGAACATGTGAGTACTAAATTAGAACATTTGATTTAATTTAGAACACCTAAGGAAAAGTTTAGAACATCAGATTTAAAATTTAGAACATACGAGTAAAAATTTAGAACATAAAGAGTGTTCTCACATATGAAAAATTCTCACATAAGAAAAATTCTCACAAGAGTCTTCCCCTATATATATATATATATATATATATATATATATATATATATATATATATATATATATATATATATATATATATATATATATATATATGTATATGTATATATATATATATAAAGGCAGCAGCTAATGCAACTATCACCATTTTACTATCACTACATAATAAGTAGTACTACTACTAAAGAGGCAATGGCAGGAGTTGCTCCCTTGACCAAACAAGAACTAGCATCAAAATTAGTTCAGGAGATAGCTAAAAAAGGAGATGAAATACCAGAGGTTTTTTTTCGCAAAGATGGTTTCCCTGAAGCCATTGATGCCCCTGATTTATGGAGAGGTGATTTGCTCATTGATTTTTCCCTTCTCTCTTCGTACTCTGAACCTGAACTTGCAAAGCTCCGATCAGCTCTCTCCAAATGGGGTTGCTTTCAGGTAAGCTTGCTTTCTTCCTACTTCTCCTGTTCATTCTTTCAATCTACAAACCAAGAAGTGAATTACACTGTTTTGCATGTTTTCATCGCAAACGTCCTAAATTTGACAAGCATAGGAGAAAAATTAAGTACTATATTGATCTTTGGCATGTTAGAAAAGGATATTTAAACCAATCATAGAAGTACACTAAATGAACATCACTTAAGCATTGAAATTCAAGAGTATGGTACTTTGATTAAAAATATAACACTCCAAATTTTCTGTTAACTAAAAGGTCATAAATCATGGGATAGAAGTCTCATTCCTCGAAGAGTTGATTGAAATTTCCAAGCAATTCTTTGCACTTCCCTTAGAGGAAAAGCTTGGGTACTCTGCAGCAGATGACATATATCAAGGATATGGCACAGATGCAGCTTATTCAGGTTCTCAAACACGAAATTGGAATGATAGGCTATTTCTTTTTCTCCATCCTAAGGAAAAACTCAGGCTTGAATGCTGGCCACAGAAGCCAGACAAATTCAGGTAACAAACTTTACATTCCTAACAGTCATTTCAACACCAATACTGAGACTCTTAAGAGTAAGATCACGGATATTGGCAGGGAAATGATAGAGGAGTATTCGAAAAAGATATCATCGGTCAATAAGGCTCTCTGCAAAGCAATGTCAAGGTCACTTGGCTTAGAAGAAAACTGCTTAGAGTTCGGGAAACACGGACCAGCAATAGCAAGGTTCAATATTTATCCTCGTTGCCCATGTCCCGAACGTATTCTTGGAACAAAAGCACATACGGACAACGTAATGGTCACGTATCTCTTGCCAGAGGTAGAAGGTCTCCAAATTTTGAATGATGGTCAATGGTACAAGGTCTCGTTCATCCCAGGCGCACTTTTTATCAACTTCGGTGAGTTAGGAGAGGTAAGTGTGATCTCTTCACATTCACAACAACCCATAAGAATTAAAAATAACCATTTCTTCCCACTTAAAAGTTACTGGTAATACAATGAAACCAAAGGATTGTTATGTTTTCACTTTGCAGGCTTTTACTAATGGAGTATTTAAGAGTGCAGTGCACAGAGTGAGTGCGAATTCAACAAAAGATCGGATATCTGCGGTCATGTTTTTCAACCCAGATGACGATGAAGTTGAACCTCTAAAAGAATTGATTAGTGCTGATCAGCCACAACTTTACAGGAAGTTTAGCATGAAAGAATATAGTCCCAAAATCTACGATAGTTTTCGTCTAGGCATAAGAGCACTTGATGCATTCCAAGTTTAGTATCTGCTCTTCATTTCATGCGTGCTTTACTTTTTAAAAGAGTGGCCCATCCAACAGAACTTTTCTTCTGAGTTTGATAAGAATTGTTCATTAGTACTATATATACATTACTTGGACTCGGCCACTCAATGTGAATGTGTTCCAATAATTGACAGTTGCTATGTATGAAAACTTTCCATGTTCTTGGTACAAATAAAAATGTCATATGTTTATACCTATGTGGCTATTTGTGAGGATACAACATGGCGCTTGAAGTGAAATGAAGTATAAGTAACATAGTTTGTAATTGTATGTGTCCACTCCAAACACTAGCCAAGGCAAGCATACTCAGCTCTCTCCATCCTTAAACAGATGTTTTGTTTAAATTTTGAAAACATTTTACATATTATTGTGCATATAATAAAAGTATTTGTCTAATATACCACTTGTGTTTGTGTCCAGTGCAAATATATTAATAATATTATCCTATAGCTTCATTTGTGAATTGTTATATTGTAAGAAAATAAAACTGGTACAGAAGTATTGATACAAAAAAGTTACACTCCCTTGAATCAGCAGTTTTTTTGAAAATGATACACTTCTATGTATGATAAAATTCTACATTTACAATGGTTTGGATTGAAGGAAATGGTAGAAAAGGAAGCAGAAGGTTTCCCTCTCTTTTTAATAAACATAATCCCTCCAAAATAGGAGAGATTTGAAGGGGAAATTGAGTTCACCTTACCTTCCCTCCCCTTCCTCCTCTTTCCCTCCCCTTCTTTACCTTCCTTCTTTGTTATCCAAACAAAGCACTAAGGATATGTCTCTTTTTTCATGCATGGTCCTCTCTCCTACTTTTGTATATAATTTCACTCCTTTCCTACCTCTTACCATTTGAATAATCTATTAACCCTGCTATATCTTACAATTTACTATCATACGTACACCACTTGCATCTTATTATAAAAAATTTAATATCAATCTCTTAGAATTGTGTGTTGGTTAAAGTGCAACACTTAGAAAAATAGAGGGGGTTAATTAGACATTAAACGCTTTGTTTGGATAGGAAACAAGGAAGGAAAGGAAGGGGAGGGATAGAAGAGGAAGGGAAGAGAGAAGAAAGGGAGGGGGAGGTAAGCTCCATTTTCCCTCCAAATCTCTCCAAATTTGGAGGGATTATGCTTATTAAAGAGAGAGGGAAAGATCCCTCCCTCTCATTTCCCTTCCTTCCCACAAGTCTAACAACCAAACATGGGCTAGTGGGCTACTAATGATTAATTAGACATTGTAAGAAAAGAGCTTAAACAGTTATGGTTGTAACAAGTCCAAACATGGGCTACCATAACTCCATAAGTGTCCAGGAATAATTAGTCCTTGCATATTTTATTATTTTTCAGTAATTGTTCCCCTTTGACTTTTGTAGGATTTGAATGTCTTACTTTGACCATATAAGATTTAATATTTATACTTGTACATAACTGTATCAACTAGGTCCCATAATATAGTTTCTATTTTGTATTTTGCATTTTTCACGAGGAATAAGGAAACGAGAAATAAGATTACTGTTTTTAAGGAATAAGAAATAAAAGTACGCATATATATATCTGTAGTAAAATGAAGGAAATTGATGTTAAAAACAACACGTAATGAAATAGGAAAGATTCAAACAAGACCTTTATTTGGGACATTGAAAAAGTAAGATAGGAGTAGGAACTACATTATGGAATGGGAGGAGTAATAATAATAGTAAAAGTTGCACATTGGCAAATGTTTATGTCAAAGTAGAACATAAAATAAACAGGAAAGTCAAGTTTAAGTTAGGACAACCTTTTGGTGTGTGTGTGTGTGTGTATTACTACTACTATTACATGTTTTAGTCAGCAAAAAATTCAACAACTATACTATTAACAACAATGGCAGAACTTACTCCACTAACCAAGGAATAAGTAGCAGCAAAGCTAGTTCAAAAAATAGCCAAAAAAGGTGATGAAATATCAGAAAAATACCTCCACAAAGATGGCTTCCCTGAAGCTATTGATGCCTCTGATTTGTGGAGAGATAAATTGATTATTGATTTATCTCTTATCTCTTCTCTCTTCCTCCTCAGCAACTGAACTCGAAAAAATCTGATCAGCTCTCTTTCAATGGGGTTGTTTTCAGGTATGATTAAGCAATCTGATAATCAAAGTCAAGTATGTTAGAGCTAAGTCACCCAAAAATGAGTATATATCATCATCATAACAAAGTATAATACTTATGATGTATGCAGGTAATGGCTAATGGGGTATTTAAGGGTGACATGCATAGGGTGATCACAAGTTCTTTAAGTGAGAGAATATCAGTGGCTGCATTCTGCCACCCAGATAAGGATCAGGAAATTGGACCTGTCAGCAAGCTAATCAGTGTCCATAAGCCTCAACTATACAAGAAGTTTAACATCTATGAGTTTCAGCGGACATTCTTCAAGAGCCATGCACTAGGCCATAGGCCACTTGATCCATTCAAGCTTAGTATGTTGATGATTTCATCTTTGACTACAACTACAACCTAGCTCAAACTAAACCTTCATGAGTTTTCTAAGGAGAGATATATCCTGTTCATAGAAATTCTCATTGAGGGAGTCAGATTGGTTCTAAGGTTGCATAGCATTAAAGTTTTCATCTCCAAATAAATCCTAGACTAGAAGTCTGGAGCATACTTAATACTTGTATAACTGTATAAGTAATACTCTAATATCAGTCTTGTATTATTTTTGGATGTTTAGAAAAATTGTCACATTTTCTAAATATATAATGTTGTCAAATTTCCAAATACCCTCACTATATTGAAGTGGGAGAAGGGAAGGATACGACTAACTAAAATGATAATATAGGGAAACAGTGGTAAATTTTTATTGTATGACGTTTAGGAAACAAATTACAGTATAAGGGAAGAATAATTGTACTACATATCTACATGACATATTAAGACAGAGCGCCATGTTTAGCTTGCTACCAAGAGTAAAAACCAAAGTAACATCAACCACAGTAAAATGAATCCAATATTTATGCATTTGGGCTATTTTTCAAAAGTGTGACCAACCTAATTGGGCCTGCATCACTTCTTGAATATCAGGGAAGCTAGGATGAGGCCATATATTGAGGCCCATTCTCAAAATATGCTCAGCCCATTTAAAATGAACCAAACAAGAACCCACCAATATATGTAAGGTCTTTATTTATGAAATAAATTGGTAGGATCTTGGATATAACTTTCTGACATGAAAATGAATTTACCTCAAATTCAACCCAAAACAAACTTGACAGACTAATAATTATGTGCAAACTAAGTCATAAAATCAGTGTATGCATAAATAATTTTTAAACAAAAACAAACTTCAATGCAGATATTAAAAAATTGGAGTAATAACAGTGACAGAAGATAGAAGCAAGGAAATACATGTGTTGGCTTGTGCAACAATTAATGCACATGTAAATTTATCAAACATTGTGGCAACTTTGCAGACCAAGATGGTTGATTCGTTGGCTACAGGGCACTTCCTTATTTGAGCAAACTGGCATTACTTATTTAGTTATTTGTGAGTGTGAGTCACTTGTGAGCTGTGAACAGTGATGATAAATCTTATTCAAGCTAGTATAGAAAACAATTATTTTACTTTTCAAAAAAAAAAATGTACCTAAGCACTTGACAAAAATAACTTGTACCTGATTACTTGGTCTGGACCTAAACAATACCTTAAATACATGACCTGGTTTTGTTTATAACCAAAGTTGGCTCAATGAAAAGATGAATGGGATCAATATAACTAAAACCAACCCAAAGTAAGCCAAAATACTCATCACCCAAACATGACATGAACTGTATTGAGCTCAATCAACTTGATTCGGAGGACTCATTTGCCTACTCAATACTATGTTACAATTATAAAGATGGCCACAATCAACAAAAAAATCACTACAAGTTCCCGTTGACTTCTTTTTTTATCCTTTGATAAATAAAAGATCCAGACAAAAAAAAATACTCATAGTATTTTCTAAGTTACTTGAACAGTAGGATCATTCTTCTGGGTAGGTAAGACCTCTTATCCTATAGGAAACATAGAGAAAAATGTGCCAAATTCATTTGGGCAAAAAAAGAACAATGGAGTACTATCCTTGTTTCTCTTTAAATAATGTATACCCAATATGGAACTCTAAATTGATTGAGAAAAATTGAAGTTCACTCCAGATTTGGTTAAAAAGGAAAGGACCACAAACTTAATTGTCAAGCTCAATTAATCAAAAAGTCTTATGTAAAGTTTTACATTGTTTTTTATGGGCAGTAAATAAGTTTAATTTAACAAGCACAGTTATGTCTTATGTATGTTACACTTTCAGAAAATACATGAATCGTACTTCTTATTGTCAACATAACTAATCCATTTTTCAATTTCTTATAAAGTACAACTTTTGTATTTTTTACATGTCAATCAAACAACCACTAAACAATTATCACAATACTAATAAAATTAATTTTTGGTAATAAGTATTCAAAGCCGAACCCATGCACAGACTAAAGAAGGGAAAGCATGTTTAATGCAATATTTCACTTAAAATTTTAAAAAACTAGCAAACCACTAAAATAAAATCATTAATATTATTATACTTCATCTTTACAAGGAGAACCAAAGTCAAAAGTCTAATGCTTTAAATAAGGGAAAGCCAGCTTCATCTACTGCTAGGATATGGCAAGGGGCACTTATATATTCATATAAAAATAACCCCATCTTTGTCATTGTCTTACCTGCTGATATTAATTAACTTGATAAATAGACTACCCAACTAAACTGATACTGCATAACAAGTTTCACAAAAACACAGAGTAGCCCAGAAAATAAGTTCCACAACCATAAGCGCTTTTCAATTGGTAATACTACTAATTCTACTACTGCTACAATGCCAGAACCAGCTTCCATAACAAAAGAAGAATTAACATCAAAGCTAGTTCAAGAAATTACGAAAAAAGGTGATGAAATACCAGAGATATACCTCCACAAAGATGGTTTCCCTGAAGCCATTGATGCCCCTGATTTGTGGAGAGATAATCTGCTCATTGACTTTTCACTCCTCTCTTCCTCAACACAGGAACTTGCAAAGCTTCGGTCAGCCCTTTCAGAATGGGGTTGCTTTCAGGTACGCTACGATCACAACTAGAGAAAGATCTAAATTCAAGTAGGAGCAATCAAAAGTCAAAAAATTGTCTTCAACCTCTTTTTCATTCTTTTATATGTTGGGGTGGGGGTGAATTATCATTACATGCAGCATGAGAAATTAACAGCAATATTGACTTACTGAGTACATTTGAAGCCCTCTAGACCCTATCTGAACTGGATTAATTTATAGGCTCTTTCTGTTGTTGACCTTTATGTAACTTGAATTTCTTTTGTACAACCCAAAATAACTTGGTAGGAGTTTCATTCTTAAACAAATAAAAATAAAAAAAGATATAACTGATGATCATGATCCATGCAGTAGTATACAAATGATTATTTGAATCATAAGATTAAATATTATGTAAATTGCAAGAGTTGGTACAAATTAGTTGATGCAAATTAGAAATTTGTATTTATAGGTCATAAATCATGGGATGGACAACTCATTCCTTGAAGAGTTGATTGAAGTTTCTAAACAATTTTTCGCGCTTCCTCTAGAAGAGAAGCTCAAGTGTTCTGCAGCAGATGACGTCTTCCAAGGGTATGGAAGTGATTCAGTTTTTGCAGGGGCTCAAACTATCAATTGGAATGACAGGCTATTTCTTACACTTTACCCAGAGAAAAAGCGGAAGCTCCAATTCAGGCCAACAAAGCCGGAGAAATTTGGGTAAATTCTTAAGATAATTTGTGCTTTTTTTGTGCAAAATGTACAGGAATTCTGAGCAATGTTGTCTGAAGGATCAACATTGATAGATTGTGACCTTGGTTGTGAATTTGGCAGGGGAATGATAGATGAGTACTCAAATAAGCTAGCAGCAATGACTGAGGGTTTTTATAAGGCAATGGCAAGGTCACTGAACTTAGAAGAAGACTGCTTCTTAAAACATCAAGGGAAGCAAGGACCAATAACCGGAAGGATCACTCTGTATCCTCGTTGCCCATGCCCTGAGCGTGTTCTTGGGCTCAAACCACATTCGGATGGTGCAACAATGACATTTCTCTTACCAGATAAAGAGGTCGAAGGTCTACAAGTCCTGAAAGACGATCTCTGGTATAGGGTACCAGTCATTCCAGGAGCCTTGTTTGTCAACTTTGGTGACTTAGGAGAGGTAATTCTAGCTTTTGCAAATTGACAATAGTCCCATGAAACCAAAAACAGAAAATTTTATCATTTTATAAGTCTAGAAGATAAAGATAAAATATGTCAGAATTATATAATGTCCAAGAATGTTCTCTTCGCAGGTGATGACTAATGGGGAATTTAAGAGCGTGATACATAGGGTGGTAACAAACGCTGCAAAAGACAGGATATCAGTGGCCGCATTTTGTACTCCAGAAGATGAAAAGGAAATTGGACCAGTCAGTGAATTGGTCAGTGTTCATCAGCAACAAAACTATAAAAGGTTCAACATCCATGAGTTTAGGCAGATGTTCTTTGAGAGCTATGCACAAGGGCGCAGAACAATAGATGCGCTGAAGCTTTAGTGTCAAAACAAGTGTTTCTGAGTAAAAACGTATTTCATATTGACTCAGTTCAGTTTTGGAATTGATATTTATTGAATTCTGTATGATCACACTTTTTAAAGTTGAATTCGAATTCTGTCAGTATTTTATAAAACTGTGTGTTTGCTTTTATGATACACAAATTGATGGATATAAGACTATTACCAGACACAAGAACTCATGTCAAATGCTTGATATTCTGACATGGATGTGATTACTAGACACTTTAGAATAAACATTCGAAAATTGCATAACTTTGTCAAGTTTGACACAAGGACACGACAGGAATAGAATCCAACACTAATAACCAAGTCAGACTGTCTGAGTAATATAGAATCTATATTACAATGATGGCCACAAGTCACAAGACTAACCCTAGCTATCAATTAAGATTCAGGTGAAACTCAAACATAATCACAGAAATACTATATCAAATCATTCTAATCTAGTCACTGAGCTCTAAATTGAGTCATTAGACATTAGAAAGCAAAAGCATAGATAGAGAAAACTAAACAAAGGGTGCAGATGCCACTCCTGACAATAGTTTTTAAGACTTCAAAACTGATAAAACTGAACAGATTTTGACATATAAAACATACAGCGAGCTAAGTAAGTAGTAAACATACCAGATGATGAATAAAACCAAGAGCTTGGGCAGGCATGAAAATAACACCAGTTCAACAGATGGCTTTTTGTACAGTTCTTAATTCTTCAAATTCAAGGGCTTATCCAAGCTTAATTAAAGAGTGATGTTGCTTTCACCGTGCAGACAACACTTTTTCCTTGGATTACAATGATACCTGCAAGCCACAACAAGAACCCATGGTCTTCAAACATCAAGTTTCTTCCAACTCAAACAATATTCACAGATAAACTACAATCTGATTGATACACATAAACTAGTCATGTGCACCAACGATTGACCACCCTAAGCCTTCAAGAGAGCAAAACATAGACAGTGTTCACTTGAAATTAAGCACTTTGCCACTAGTATGGGTTAAGTAACCAATGTTCAATCATTCACTTTCGTGGTAGTAAAAAAATCATATTATGCTCGTGTTAGAAAGCCATTTAACAGCACATATATAGTCAATTAGACTAACAAAATCACAAACATATTCATTACATTCCAAACCAAGTCCATCACAACAAATTAATGCATCCAGTCCATAGAGCATACTTGTTTGGTGAAAGAAAAGCAAGATTAAGTAAGCCAAAGAAGAAATTGATGGAATTGTAAACTCTTAGAACATTCATAAAAGTAACAAGCACGTGCACGGCACACACACACCACAAACACTGCCCAACCCAACCAAACTCACCTAAGAATAAAAACCTATCAACATCATCCCAACACCTATACAAAGAATCCCGCCTTGCGCAGGGTCAAATGGGTCCAAATGTACGCAACCTTATCCCTACGATGACAAAAAGGTTGTTCCAATTAACAAATGACATTCAATAAAGTGTATTTAACACACAAATGTATTCCTAGGTCTTTTATAGGGCGTCCACAAAAGGCAAGGAATTGTCCCAGAGACACTACCATCCTCTCAATTTTCATTACAAGTCAAAATCCCACTCTAATTAATGCTAACCCATTTTTTCAAATGTCTGAAATTATAATCTTAACAGTTTTGTGGGGAATTCACATTGAACAATAGCAACCAACCAAGTCTTGGCTCGGCGACAAAGATTGAGGACTCGTGTACACGGGTTCGAATCCCCACTCCGCCAATTGTAATTTATAATGCCCCTTGTGATTCATTCGGATCAAAGGAAAACCATATAAAAAAAACATAACATTGGCAGAAGTGCAAATTAAAATATTACCAACATATTTAACCCCAAATAATAAAATTAATAGATAAATAATCCCAAGAATCAGATAATAAAGCACATAAATTGAAATTTTAACAGCCAACGAGGAGCAATTGAACAAAAGCTTGGATTTTTATATATAATTATTGCTGGGGAGTTGTGGTGAACTGGTTATCAAGTTGATAAAGATAACAGTAGAAAAAATTGACGAAAGAAGAAATAAAATTGGAACATTACATACCAGTAGAAATTGAAGTTGGGGTAAATTGAAATATTTTCAATATAAATCTTCAATACTATTCTTGTCATGTAAATTGTAAAAGGAATAAAGCTGACGATTTTAGAGAGAGATCACATATTAACGCCTTTCTATTTTCAACTACTACTTCCGCAGTTTTCCTAATCTATTATTTGCTCTGTTCTTTATTACTTGATCCGCTTTGACTTTTACACTATTTATCACCCCTCCTTTGACCTTCTTTTGTGAATAATAAGTAAGGAAAAATATATTCATGTATGATCTTTTTGGATCCGTCTCAATAAGTACTATCATAATATATAACTTTTATAATTTTTACGTATGGAGAATTTAAGTTATTAATCGTTAAAGTTTTGCATTGGCAAGCGTGATAAAAGAAACAAGTCAAGTAAAAAAGAACAGAGAAAGTAACTATTGCTAAAACAGAAATGCTGATGTCATTGATTTCTAAAGTATCTTATGTGTTAAATTCTTATTAAAAAATTTCCCTACAAATTCACGTATGATGTAATCATTTTTTTTAATTATTTTTAATTATTTTGTTCTTTCATTTTATTGCTATAAACTAGGACCAAGTAGGTATGAAAATAAAAATTCGAAATTTGATTTTGGCATCAATACTGTTGTATGCTCCATACTACTTTTGGATATTCCCAATAAAACATTATTTAGTAGATATAGTCCATATAGATATTGTTTCTTTAACTTTCACTCTAAACATATAAGAATGCAACATTAAATATTATTTGTCTAACCATCATTTTAGTATATTTTTAGTAAGATACAGTAAATATTATGATGTAGCATTAGATAATAACAATTTTATAAAAAAAATAAGGATTATGTAAATGTTATATATATATTCCATAAAACATACTTTATTTTTATTTATAAAAAAGCGAGCCAAGTCATGTTAAAATTTATGAACAACAAAAGATATAAAAGAATTATGAATTATTTATTATTTATCACCATTGTGCAATGCACGAGTACTAAACTAGTTAATTTCTAATTAAATATGTATATACAATTCCCTAAAGTGCATAATTTTCATATTTAATTAGGAAATTTCAATTAAATTATATTACTAACTATTGTTAACTCGTAATTAACTAAATAGCATGATATGTGTAGAAAACCCAAATTTTAAAAATTCAATGGAATATATTTTCAAAGCTATGTTAAATAAGGTAGTTTAAAAAGGAAATAAATATGACATCATCTTTGCATTTTGGAGGGAAAAAAATTAAATAAAAAAATGATACATAGGCAGTGATGACAGCAGTTGTTATTTTAGTACATACATCAAATTATGTTCAATTGTTTGTATAGCTAGTGCGTGATCCGAGTATTGCCCCAAATGTTAGTGTGTTTTTTTAACCTCATATGTATTCATTTTATAATTTTGTGTAGAATAAATAAATTAAATAAAATTTGAATGAATATATAATGTTAATGATGTAGAATTTAAAACACTAATAAAAGTTGGTTGAGAATCTTGAGATGGTAAGTGTATAACCATTATTTGTTGCATGATATACGTTGATGAGTGTCACGTGGCACCGTTTCTTTAAAAGGAACACTTTTTAATATATAGTATAGATATAACCATTATTTGTTGCAGGATATACGTTGATGAGTGCCACGTGGCACCGTTTCTTTAAAAGGAACGCTTTTTAATATATAGTATAGATATAGATTTTTTATTAATCAAAGTTTGATGGTTTAACCAAAAAAAAAAACAAAGAAGTTTGATAGAGTTGTATAACTTGGAGTAACTATGACCCAATATCTGGTACAAACCATCATGCTTAAGATTAAAAAAAATACATAAGTACTAAATGCAATACAAATTACGTATATGTAATAAACCTGCTTCAAAAACTAATAAAAAGTAAAGACCAAAATACCCATATACAAGTACGAAGTATAACTATAAAATTCCAATGTTCCATTTCAACTCACATACCATGAATCCATGATACTAGAATTCATACTATTCACTTTCAACATTTTCTACAAATCAAACCCACCCCCTTAAAAAAAAAAAACAAAAACAAAACAAAACAAAAACAAAAACAAAAACAAACCCAACAATCCTCCAAATCTACCACTCCCATTCCCACGAAATTCAGGAAAACTATTCAAAAAAATGCTTACTAATAAGATAATTATAAAAGAGTACCAAAATTAAAGCTAAACAAAATAATTTAAGCACTAAAAATACAAATTCCGAAAATTCAATCCCGTAGCTATAGTCAAGCCCCAAAAATCTGACGTGGTACCATGCATTAGGCCCTAGAAATTTGAATCGATACCTTTGCGTTAGGTTTGAATATCTAATCCGATACCTTGTTTTAGGCCCCGAAAATCAAATCTAATCTAGTACCTTGTATCAAGGCTTAGAAATCTAAATTGATACCTTGCACTAGGCCCCAAAATTTGGATCTAGTACCTTGTATTAGGCCTAGAAAATATGATCCGATAAACTGTATTAGCCCCTGAAAAAGTATCATGGTGGCCTTTTATGAATCAATGAAAAATTGATAATAAACTCTAGCAATTATACAGCTAGTCATGGTGATATTAATGGAAGTCATGTAAGTGTCTACTACAAGTTGGAACTTTAGTTTTGTTAATTGTTCATCAATAAATTAGATTTTTCAGGAAAACAAAAACCTATGGTAATGATATAAATACTTAAAAAAAATTCGTAGTGCAATTTATCATTGTCTGATTGCAAATTAGGTGGTAGAGAATATGGATGATTCTTAGGAGTGGAAAATGGATTCATATCAAAAAAAAAAAAAGGGGGGGGGGGGGCAAATCATCATATCATATAAGGTGATATAACTAATATATAACTAATACTAGTTTTGTGCCCGTGCGATACCCGGGTTGTTTATTGAATTTTAAGATAAATTTTTAATCTATATATCAAATTTTAAAACATATCATTGATACAAAATTAGTTAGGAATTTATGTGTTTTTGTGATGATTTAAACTATATAGTAGGCATGTAATGACTAATAATAATAACATTGGTGAAAAATATTTCTTGACTCGTAACCTGATATAATGTCCCTGTTCGAAATGACTCGTGACCCGACCGATTGACAGGTCTACACACATTAATAAAACTATATTAGATTGTAAAATATATTGTTTTAATTGATTAGAATATATTATAAATAATGGATGTGGTGCATTTTGAGCTAATTCATTCGCTCCAAAAAAATATTATGATACAAAAAATAAATTTATATGATAATTTATGAGTGTTATAATTTTTTTTTTAATAAAATTATAATTTAATTTGTACATTTGAAATATTGGTACTTTGTCGAAAATAAAACTCTAAATTAACAATTTTATCTTAAAATTCTATCCAAATTTGATTGAAAATAGAATTCTAAATTAACTTTTTTATTTTACAAATTGAATTCTATATAAATCTATCCTACGTGGCGTGACACTTGGCAAAAAGTTAAAACGCCAAGTGTCGCTATCTCGTAGCCTGACTAAAAGTTTAGCTTTATATATTAGTTATATGATATGAATTCAGGCTTACTTTGTTTTTATTTAAAAAAAAAATCAATATTTAGGGCTCTCTCCACATTTCTCACTAACCTAGACAATTATATCAAATAAGAGAAACAAAAACTTTATCAAGGGATTCTAGCATTTCGAGTTAAAAAACTCCAACAATATCAATCTAGAGATATTCTATTCCTTTCCAACCCCTTCCCTCCAATTGCAAAGAGAAAGTATTGGAAATTGATGTTAAATAAAAAAAAAAAAAAAAAAAAGAGTAAAATATATGAAACAAAATACAAACTAGGAAATCAATGGACATGAACAACAGACCTGTGTATTTTTGAAATATGACAAAGCAAGCCCTGCAATCTGACGCTCAAGATCCTGATTTGGTTTCTTTACTAATGAATCTATTTGGACCTTGAAACCATCTTTGGTCGTAATTTCATACATATCTTTAGTTTCTCGAAAGAAATCGTGACTGGAAAAGATATCCACCACAAATAATCAATACAGTACTAATTATGTGAAATTGATATAATAAGCATGTTACAACATGAATTAGATTTGATCAAATATATGTATGAAAAATTGAAAATGATAACATACATTATGTGATCCTTATTATACAGCTCCATTGGAAGGGGTTTATCTGAATCAATAGGAATGTATTCTGTAGTGCTGCAAAATACAAAAGATTTCCAACTATAATAAATTAATTTTTATACCAAGTATAAGAATTTTATATAAAGAAAAAAAAAAAACGCACCCGTCCGAGAAAATAACACAGATACTGGGCGTACAGAGTGCAGGAAGTACTACGTCGGAATCAGTCTGTTCACCCCAAGTAAGAATACTATGAAGCCTTCCGCTACAAAATATTCAATTCAATTCACGATCTAAATGGTAAAGATAAATTAGATTAAAACACATAAATTTATTTGAAAAATACGCACTTTGCAATCCAATCATACTCTATTTCCTCGTCGTCTGAAAACTCTTCAAATTTACCACAACAAAAGTCAGAATCGTCATCATATTTGTAAGCATTAGCTTTATAATCCTCAGAATCATAATCAGAAGAAGAATCCCCGCCGTAGTCGATGATTGCACTGGGAAAATCCCAATTCAATTAAATTAAAATAATTTACGTAGTATTAGTATAACTGTTATAGAACAAATATTAAAATTCAGAATTATTAAAACAATTCCGAGTAAATTTATCATGACAAAAATAAAACCAAACCCTTGTTTGTTAATCATCTCAGGGGTTCTGTCTCTCTCTTCAACTCCTCTTCCTTCTTCTCCATCCGTTCTGACCCCGCTTTCTCCATAAGATTATTTTTTCTGGGTTTCAGAACTAAATAATTTTTTTTTTTTTTGAACAATCAGAACTAAATAAATTTACAAAAAGGGGATTAAAAAAAACCCTTACGTATGTGTTTCGAAAAAAAAAAAAAACCTTAAACGTATGGGTTTTCCTTAAATGAAAACAATATATGGGCTTTCCTGATTTGGTCTTTTTGACTTGTGACCCAAGTGGGCTGTGAAATTTTTTACATGGAGGCGGATACACGAAGCTCCATGTATCCGTTTTCTTTTAAAAAAGGCGGAATGAATATTTCGTTGTTCAGTAAAGAACATACAGCTGTTTTGTAAAAACCATATATCTATTTCATAAAGAAATCATATATCTATTTCATAAAGAACATTACATATAGATGTATTGTAATGAACATATAGCTATTTTGTAAAGAACATAAAGTTATTTTGTAAAAAGACATCCAACTTTATGTTCTTTATATATATCTAAAGAACATCCGTAATATTATTAAAGAACATGATAATAAGAAGTGATCTCTTTTGGCCCGGCCCAAAAATAGGGCGGGTTTGGACAAGCCTAAAAATATATTTTTAGTTAAAAATCCAAATCCGGCCCGAAAAAGCCTGAAAAGCCCGCTATGTTTTTCGGGTTTGGGCACAAGATACTATGTTAAGGGTTGGACACGAGATATTATGTTAAGGTCCGGCCCGACTCGAATTTTTTATCACCTCTAATAATAATTTAATGTAATGAACATTATATTTAACCACCATAATCTAAAGGCAAAATTCAAAGGTCATTTCAAAATAAACAATTAACATTATGTTACAAATAAAAGTACATTACACTGACAATCAAAGAACATGAAGATAAAGAACATTATTTAACAACATGTTATGTTCTTTACAATTTAATACGAGTAACATGTTCTTTTCACTCTAATTGAATGTTCTTTACAATACTATAATATGTTCTTTTCACTTAAACTAAATGTTCTTATATTTCTATACAATGTTCTTTCCACTTTTTTTTTAAGGGATGCACCATGCGGATCGTGCATCCGCCTGCACGAACCATGCATTAAGTGGGGTGAGGGCTATGAGGCTATGTCCGCTAAGCAAAAATACCTAAATGTACCAAAATTCCGCAAATTATGAGTTGCTCTAAGCTGAGTTAAGGTCAAATACGGTGCATAAATTATCGTTGTATTTGTAGAATTTTAGTCCCTTAACTATTTAGTCCCTTAGCCACCAAGAAGTACTATTTATGGTCAAATAGTTTAGGACCTTGCCTAGTTATCAATAGTCCAAGAACCATTTTAAATTATTTGGTAAATTTTAATTATTATTTTATTACAATAGTTAGGGACTTATCAAATTAATTGATTAAGAGAATAGTTTAGGGACTTCAAGGCTGGCTTGACAAAAATAGTTTGATTAAGGACCTTTTTAATTGGCAAAATTGACAAAAATAGTTTAAGGACCTTTTAAGCATGGTGGGTTTTATGGTCCAATTTGAGGTCAGAATTGACAAAAAAAAATGAATCAAAAATGCCTCGTTTTGCGTATTTCACGAAAATCGAGAGGTATATTTAAACACTCATTTTAAAAGTTGTTCAAAAAAAATATGGATTTTTAAAACAATAAAACTAAAAAGTTAAAACTTCTTAGCGGCCTGCTGCCCGGCCCGGCATGACACTCCAGGCACTTGGGCCATGTCGTGGGCTTGGGTGTGCCAAATGATGGCTAGCAGTCCAGCACGACACGGACCGCCAAATTGTAGGCACGACATGGCCCGACACAAGCCACCACCATCGAGGCACGACACCCTGCCCACCATGCTTTTTAATAACATACAGAACAAATAAAACTGCCACAATTGCAAAAATAGTTCATTCATATTGTAGTTCTTAATTGTGATAATTATAAGTATAGGTACATGGCATTTGAGTTCCTAATGCACCCACAACATATTTTAATTAGCACGTACCAATTATTAAGTAGGGATAGATCAAGAAGATAATAATAACTATATCCTGTTGGTATAATAGTAATTGGGTTGGTATGGAGGATAACGTGTTTGATCCTCCAATACCAACAATTGGGAGAAGATTAAAGCCTAACCATCTAAAACTGATCTTTAAATTTAGATTAGGCTAATCTTCTCAACAATGCATTTATGCATTATCACGTACGGATAGGAATATAGGGTGACGGCTTAATTACATTAATGACTAGAGCTATCAAAAGTTGACCCGACCCGAAATACCGACTCAAACCCGATTATTAACCGATCCATCTAAACCCGAAAAAATGGTGACTCAAACCCAACTGAAACCAACCCTAGACCCGAGTATGTGAGATCCAAACCCAAACATAAACTATCTTGGAGATGACCCGACCCGAATGTAACCCATAAATTATTGACCTGAACCAAACCCGACTTGAACCGAAATTGACCCAAACCCGTTTTAACCCGTCAAAACCCGAATTTAACACGACTTGTTACTAACCTGACCAGAATTTAACCTGACCCGTTCCTAACCCGACCCGAATTTAACCCAACCTATTACAAACTCGACCCGAAGTCAACTCGACTTGTTATTGACCTGACCCAAATTCAACCCGACTTGTTATCGACCCGAATTTTACCAACCTATTACTAATTTGACCCAAAAATTCAACATAATCTGTCACTAACCCGACTCGAAATCAATATGACTTTGTTATTAACTTGACCTAAATTCCACCCAAATTGTTCCTGACCCGATTTCAAATCACCTTAAATGCAATTTAGACCACCTTATTATTGTTGAACAAAGCATTTTGTCCAGGGAGACCAAGTCGGTTCAGGCCAGCAAAAGAAAGGAACATCATCCTCAAATTTAAGAGTTAAATATAATATATATTTGTTGTATGGTCAAAGGAGATAACTATCTTCCTAAATTATAGACTATAGACCCCTAGTATATTGCCACATATATTATAGTCAAAGGAAACAATTAGCTTGATAAAAATAATAAGGAAAAATTGTAAATAATAATACAACCTTTGGCCGGTTCTTTTTTAATAATACGACCTTTCGATTATTTCTTAATATTACAACCTTTGGGGGTGTTGAATTTTAACAGGCAAAAATCGGTTGGTAACCTTTTTTACAGGTTACCATGACACGTGTCGTTGTTTTATTGACTTTGTCAATTTGTTTTAATTTTTAAAAATTAATAATAAAATTACTTTTATTATTTTTAATAAAAAACCCCACCACCCCTGCCACCACCTTCACCACCATTCCCCCCCCCCCCCCCCCGCCTTCACGCAGCTCCACTTTCCCCAGCCAAGAAACCGGACGACCGGCGTCTAGCTCTCACACCGCCGGCAACCCACTCCATGTTACCTCCACCTCCCTTACCCGTCGCGCCCGCGAAAACCAACACCACTGCAGCCCCGATTCCACCACGAACTGACCATCGCAGCCCAGAAACCACCCCATCCCCTGTTTTCCGGCCACGATGAACCCTATTCCCTCACCTAAAACTATTAAAAATCCATTAAATCAAGAAAATCCTGTGTGGTGATGATTGTGGCTGTTGTGGTGGTGCGTTTGGGAGCAGCAAAGGGTGATAAGGGGTGGTCGTTGCTGCTGTTGTTGGTTGGGCGCATGGTGATGGCAGGGGAGTGAAGAAAACAGGGGAGGTGGAGAGGTGGTGGTGGAGAAAACAGGGGAGGGGCAAGGGTGGTGGTGGCTGGAGGGTTGATTTTTTTTAAATTGAAATTATTTTATTAAAACTTAAAAGTTAATTAAACAATTTTAATTAAAAATTAAAAATTAAAAATTTGTTTTTTTTTTAATTTTAAACCAATTACATGACAACACGTGTCATGGTAACTTATCCAACCGGTTACGAGTTATTTTGCCTGTTAAAATTCAACACCCCCAAAGGTTGTAATATTAATAAATAATCAAAAGGTTGAATTATTAAAAAAGATTCGGCCAAAGGTTGTATTATTATTTGCAATTTTTCCAAATAATAATTATCTATTTATAGTTAGTTGAATCCGAATATGACCTCACTTGGAAATGACCCGACCTGATTGTAACATGCAAATTATTGACTTGAGCATAACCCAACTTGAATCCGAGAATGGCCCAACTTGAAAATGACCCAACCTGATTATAACCCGCAAATTATTATTGACTTGAACCGAACCTGACTTGAATCCGAGAATGAACCGACTTGAAAATGACCCGACCTGATTATAACCTGCAAATTATAAACTTGAACCGAACCCGACTCAAACCCGAGAATGACCCGACCTGATTATAACCCACAAATTATTGACTTGAACTGAAGCCGACTAGAACCCCAAAATTACCCAAACCCGTTTTAACCCATGAAAACCCGAATTAAACCTGACCTATTGTTCACCCGAACCGAATGTAACCCGACCTGTTATTAACTCGACCCAAACCCAATAAGAAGTATGACCCGACGTGACCCGAGTAAAGCATGACCCAACCCGCATAGTTTATGGAATTAATCTGAATTGACCCGACCCGAGTTGACCAGACTCACTCTTACCAACCAAAACCAGACCCGTTTCTCGAATTGACAGCTCTACCCGAAACCTCCAAAATTTATCAAAAAGCATGGATATTAGTCTTCAATTTTGAAATTTTTTGACTTTTTTCACCCGGAAATAAAAATTGCCGAAATGTTTACCATGGTCCTTAATACCCTCCGGGAGTCCAATTGGTTGGGTGAAACTGTCCACTTTCCCTTTAAACGACCAATTCACCGTTTTACAACTTGCATCGATTTCATTAACACAAGCCTACCACGAACATTTATGACAACATATAATGATCATATATGGTTCCAAACGGCATTATATGATCCCAAGATGTATCCCCTAAAATCTCAATGCTTTTCAACACCGGGCCTCCAAACATTCGAAATTTCTCAAAAAGCGTGGATATTAGCCTTCAATTTTGAAATTTTTTGACTTTTTTTGAGTGGATATAAAAATTGCATAAATTTTAACCATGGTCCCTAATATCCTTCGGGAGTCCAATTGGGTGGGTGGAACCATCCAACTTGCCTTTAAATGACCAATTTACTAGGCAGTTTACAACTTGCACCGATTTCATTAATTCAATCCTACCATGAACATTATTGACAACAAATAATGATCATATATGGTTCCAAACGACATTATATGACCTCGAGATGTATTCCCAATAATTTCAAGACTTTTCGACATCGGGCCCCGAAGACTCCAAAAATTCTCAAAAAGCGTGGATATAGCCTTTAATTTATGAATTTATTGACTTTTTTGGCCCGGAAATAAGAATTGCCGAAATGTTTACCATGGTCTCTAATACCCTCCGGGAGTCCAATTGGATGGGTAGGTGGAACCATCCAATTTGCCTTTAAACAGTCAATTTACCAGTTTACAACTTGCGCCGATTTCATTAACTCAAGTCTACCACAAACATTTATGACAACATATATGGTTCTAAACGACATTATATGATCCCGAGATATATCCCCTATAATCTAAAGGCTTTTCGGCACCGAGTTCCGAAACCTCCAAAATTTCTTAAAAGCGTGGATATTAGCCTTCAATTTTGGAGTATTTTTTTAATTTTTTTCGCCCGAAAATAAAAGTTTTCGAAATATTTACCATGGTCCCTAATAACCTCTGGGAGTCCAATTGGGTGGGTGGAACCATCCTATTTGCCTTTAAACGGCCAATTTACCGGTTTACAACTCGCATTGATTTCATTAATTCAAGCCTACCACGAACATTTATGACAACAAATAATGATCATATATGGTTCCAAAAGATATTATATGACCCCAAGATGTATTCCCTATAATTTCAAGACTTTTCGACCACTACAAGAAAAATCGCTTTTCGTAGCTATTATTTCGTAGCGATTGTACATTAGCTACAATATGCAAGTATGTTTGTGAAATAACTAAGGATGTCGTATCATTTTTACAATCGTCATGGTTTTCCCATATAAAATCGATACGGAAAACATAATAACACATATCCACACTATTTTTACACATTTATATAGTTTTGAGAAATCGTATCATTTACAATCGCCACTAAATCCCAAAAATCGATACGAAAAGCCTTTTCAACACTAGATATATAAATATTGTTTGACAAAGAGTACATAAAATATGTCATAGCTTATTAATTGGTGAAATATTTAATACTACCTCCGTTAATTGTTATCTGCAACTTTGGGGTATTATTTGAGAGATATAAAATATTCCAAAGTTGCAGATAACAATTAACGAAGGTAGTATAAGAGTTTGAGGTTGCATGTTCGAATCTTGTAAAGATCATACGCATGTTTTTTTTTTTGAAGAAAATGAGTTAAACATTTATAGCGATTGTAATCGCTAAAATAATTACCACGATTGGATGTAGTTTTTCGTATCAATTAGTGAGGCCAACCCCAGCGATATTGAAAACCATTACTAAAGGCTAAGGCAACGGGGGATATTGTATCGAATGACCATTCGTTGGGAAAGCTTTTTGTTGTAATTACAATCGATACTAAATGTTAAAATAATCGCTACGAAAAGGTTATTTTCTTGTAGTGGACACCTGGCCCCAAAGACTCCAAAAATTCTCAAAAAGCGTGGATATAGCCTTCAATATATGAATTTTTTTTTTGCCCGAAAATAAAAATTGCCGAAATGTTTACCATGGTCTCTAATACCCTCCAGGAGTCCAAATGGGTGGGTGGAACCATCCAATTTGCATTCAAACGATCAATTTACCGGTTTACAACTTGTGCCGATTTCATTAACTCAAGTCTACCACAAACATTTATGACAGTATATAATGATCATATATGTTTCAAACGACATTATATGAACCCGAGATGTATCCTCTATAATCTAAAGGCTTTTCGACACCGGGCCCCAAATCCTCCAAAATTTCTCAAAAAGCGTGGATATTAGACTTCAATTTTGGAATTTTTTTACTTTTTTTCGCCCGAAAATAAAAATTGCCGAAATGTTTACCATGGTCCCTAATACCCTCCGCGAGTCCAATTGGGTGGGTGAAACCATCCTATTTGCCTTTAAACGGCCAATTTACCGATTTACAACTTGCACCGATTTAATTAACTTAAGCCTACTATGAACATTTATGACAACATATAATGATCATACATGGTTCCAAACGGTATTATATGACTTGATATGTATCCCATAAGATCTCAAAACTTTTCGACACCAGGTCTCGAAACATCCGAAATTTCTCAAATCAAGTGAAATTTTGACTTTTTGGGTCAAATTCGAGTCAAGTTATGTTAGGTCATGTTATGTAAGCAAGACTAGCCTTAAAGCCAAGTTCAAGTTTGAGTTAGGTCATATTCGTTTAGGGTTATGTCATTGTTTACTTTTTCGAGTTTCAAGTCAAATTCAAATTAGGTTTAAATTTATATATGCTCGTGTTGTTAGGTTTAATTTATGAATTACTTTATACTTGGCTTCCTGCTGTATTTGTCAATTTATCGTAATAATCAGAGTAGAGATAGATCGATAAGACAATAATAAAATATACGTGTATGTAAAAGTATTGTTAAAGGATCAACTCAACCAAAAGCTTAATGGCTAAATTTTTGATTTTGGTTAAGTATGTCATTTAACATGGTATCAGAGCCAGGTCCACGATCTATGATTGAGACCTTAATGGCTAAACTATACAAGGCAAAAAATTATGGATAACTCACATGTGAGGGGGAGTGTTTAGCCCAAGAACAACCCACATGTGAGCATTCTCTTGTCCCACACTAATTCAATAAAAAGAGGTAGTATAGTGGTAATGAAATCTCACATTAAAAGAATTCAAGAGTTACCACCACAATATAAGGCTAAGGGGCTTCTCCCCTCATTGCCATATGGTTTTGAGGTGGAACCTCTTTGGTCTTGTGAAGTGGTGGACTTGCACTCTCCCGTGACGGGTGCGGCCAAGACCCGTATTTAATATAGTATCGGAGCCAGCGTGACAGAAAGGTCATGGGTTCGAATCTCATCCGCCTCTCCTTCAAAGTGGAATTAATTCGCACAAGTATAGGTGGGCTTGTGTTGCATTCACATTTCAAGCCCAAAAAACCTTTCATGTAAGGGGGAGTGATAGTTTATATAACATATTTCCGGGCCTCAACCATCAGATTAAGTTTTTGGTTGAGTTGGTCATTTAACAAGTATATACTCCGCAATTAATGAAAGTATCAACATCAACATAGAAGCTTAATAAGCTTGGATTGGGGACACGTACAAGGTTAGACGTCCCACATTTTTTATGGAATTGAATGGATAGCAATTTGCATACGTGTTCGATATATTCACAATTTTGTTTTGGGTCATATCATTTTAGTAAATTATTAACGTCAGTACAAAATATAAATAATTGATGTTTTCTTGTTCTAGATAGAAAATAGTCTAAAAATCAAAAGTTTGTGTAAACAATAAAATTGAAGCTGCTATTTCTCCAATAATGGCTAAGGAAGAATTCCTTAAAGATGATGAACAAAAGAGTGAAGAAATGATGGGAGAAAAATATATAATTTGTAAAGATAGTTATTATCAACCAGTTGATAAGTGTGTTACTTATATGGAACCAACTCTTATTGATTACTCTATCCTCACTTCATCACAAGAAGCTAACGATGAGCTTCATAAGTTCAAATCAGCTCTTTCTTCTTGGGGTTGCTTTCAGGTTAGCTTTCTTATTTCTATGTTTATACTTTGTGTATATTTTTATTCAATTCAGGCATCCTTTATTATGCATATACAACTCATATACCTGGAGTTGACGGAGACTTCACCTAGTGATTTTGATGAGGTTACGAGTTTAAGCCTCACCGACTAATTTGAGCGATTATATATTAACACTAATTAATTGATTTTATTTTTACCTTATTTTTTGTGAAATCTATCAGCTCATAAACCATGGAATACCAACAAAATTACTTGATGAGACAAAAAAAGTTTCAAGGCAATTTTTTGGTCTTCCAATGGAGGAGAAACAGAAATATGCAATGTTACCAAATGATACAAGTGGGCACGGCTACCAAGTTGGGAACGTTAGTCACGTTACTAGTCCTAGTAGTGCTACCAACAAGGTTCTTGATTGGAATGAAGGGTTTAGTCTCGCGCTTTTTCCGGAACATCGACGTAAACCGGAGTTTTGGCCTGATTTTCCTCCTAATTTCAAGTAATTTGTTCACCTAACTAATCTTCTTTAGTTTTACTTGTATTATTGTCTACTGCCGTACATAGCTTCTAGTTAGTGGCACATGTTTTTTGTATGCCTTATGCATAAAGGTAACTATTTATTTACTTAGATTTAAGTCTAGGCACGGTCCATAGTGGTGGGTCTCGTGCTCAATGGGGTTTTCACTGAAACTGATCAAGAAAAAGTTGTGTCTTAGCAAACTTGTGCTAATCTCTTATAAACAATGTCATGCATGATTCAATTCATATGTTGTCACATTAGTAAACCCCTTATAAAATTAAAGTTTGGTGTTATTCATCACATGTACATGTGTGTCTATAGTTGAATTTAATCATCTATCATTTAATTTTAACATGCTTTAAATTCTAATGATCAAATGTGATTTGAATTAGGGATGTGTTCCGTGAATACGCGGCAAGGTTAGAAACCATATTTGATGCCCTCTTCAAGTTGGTAGTTCAATCGTTGAACGTGGATGAAGAGAGATTTGCAAAACAATATGATAAAAATAGAGAAACAAACTTAAGATTGAATTTCTACCCAAAATGTGAGGGCCTAAAACAAGTTCTTGGGTTGAAGCCACACGCAGATTTCTCAACAATGACATTGCTCTTACAAGATGAGGAAGGACTTCAAGTCCTAAAAGATGAACAATGGTTCATGGTTCCCGTCATTCCTAATGCTCTATTTCTTAACCTTGGTGATCCACTCGAGGTAATTACTCGAAACCTAATGAGTCCCTCCATCCCCCCACCCCCACCCCCACAAGTGGTTGAGGGTTCGATTTCTCACCCAACCCTCTTATTCCTGTAATAGGGTGGGGGACCCACGACATCCACCCCGTATCTTACCATATAAAAAATTCAAAATTATAACAAAACCAAACATGATCGAATTAGAAAAAAATAAGTCATGATTGTATTAGAAAAAAATCATAATTGCCTTTTAATTTGATTTACACTTTTTTAGCGATTTATTATAATGTTGTTTAGTAACGAACATAATGTAATTTTTGTATGCTGAAGCAGATAATGAGCAATGGTATCTTCAAGAGTGCGGTGCATAGAGTGGTGACAAATACAGAAAAAGAGAGACTATCAGTTGTTGCATTTTGGGACAGCGATAGAAATAAAGAAATTGGACCGTTAGATGAACTTATTACAGAAGATCGTCCTCAAATTTACCAAAGGGTTTCACTCAAAGAATATATCTATACATTTTTGAATTACTATCAATCAGGGAAGAGACCAATCAATGATTTTAAAGTTTAATTTTTTGCTTATGTACTTGTATTATGAACTTAATTTTAATTCTAAACATGCAAATTTTTTTTTTTGAATGACACATAAATAAAAAGTAGTTCTTGTGACCGTGTTTAAATAAAAGAAACGTTTATATTATGCACATATAAATGTTTTGATAAATGGTTGAATTGGATCATTTATCAACTATAAAATTACGGCAAAATTCGAGCTTTTGCTTAAAGAGAATATGGACCCTCTCTATTTTAGGGGTTTATTAAGTCAAATTGTTGCGATTAGTCTAAATTTATATAAAGTAATCTATATGTATACCTATATATTTATTAATATGTATCGTGTATCTATTTGGTTAAAATGTTTATCAAAATAAAAATCCAATTTATTCAATAATATTTTGGATCAAATCTCTCCATTTGGCACAAACAAATACGGAGTATTTTACTATATTTAATCCAAATAGTAAACACTGTATTTGTTCTACTTTTTATTTCCGGCCGTTTTTAAATATTTGATCCATTTCCTTTTTTTTTAAAAAGTTTTTATAATATTTAATTAAAGTCCGGATCCAACTTAATTCATATTTTATTAAATTTATATTCTCTCCCCTCCAATTCTCTCAACTACTTTTTATAATTTTTTTATTCATCCACCCATCCTACTCATTCACCCAAAAAAAAAAAAAAAAATCAACAACATTTTTTTGACGAGAAAATCAACAACTTTTTCTAATTATATGGAGTATTTTATTCACCAATTTCTCTTAAACCCTGGCGGTCCAGCTTACAAGTCCACCAGCAGCGCCGACGAACTACTTCGGCGGCAGTGGGTCCCATCGTAGCATTTCTCAATTATAAAAGTTTCAATTATTCAGTAAGTCCCTTTTAATTGATTGATTATGTTCATGTTTATGCTGATGTTCTTCTACTATAATTGATTGTAATTTTACCAATTCAATTTAATGTTGTTTGTTGTTCATGTTATTCGTACCAATTATTTCAATTTGATGTAATTTGGTTTGTTGGTCTATGATTCTTTGAAAAATTGGAATGAAATCTACAATTTTGGCTTGATTGCCATAAACTATCAAGAATTTAAATTAAAATTCCTATATATTCATAAAGAGGAAATATAGAATCTGGGATTTGTTTGAATTCAATAACATTGAGTTGGGGTGAAGCTTGAAGCCTATAATGTTAGCATTATGTAGGAATTATGGGGTGAAAGCTTAGTTAAACTGATGACTAAGGTCTCCTTTCTCGCTTCAATCGCTACGATTATCTAGTAAATGGCTCTATGCATTGTATTCATTGGAAGAGAGTAGGAAAGGTGATGATTTCTGCAAATTTGCCGCGAATTGATGCATTAGTCTTGGGTTAGAGACTTAGAGTATCTTGTTTGAGTAGAGATTCACATAACTTTTGCTATATATAGTGATAACTAATGTTTGAAGTCCAATGTCTTTAATAATCTAGAGTACCGTTTTAATGCGTAGGAGCTTTGTAAGAAGTATATTAGGCCTTCTTTGCTCCGCCTCTAGGAACGAATGGATCTAACTTTCACTCAAGAGTTTAAATGCCAACTATCTTGCTTTTTCTCTGAGCGGGAGGGAGTTCATAACAGCTGATATTGATATAAACAGCAAGTCAAAATACAGTAAAGAGATCAAAAGATTAAAATAAAATTTCAAGGTGTTGATATTACTATTGTTTGGTTGTATCTTATTTGCGTACATTATTTTTTTTTTTTTGGACATGAGACATCATTAACACCTAACCTTGGTTTTATTGCTTTTCTGAATGATTTTATTTTTCAAGTCTAATAAGTCTTCTCAGTCAACATTAAAAAATGGTTAGTGTTTCATGACTTTCATCAGAATCTGTTAGAGATGAAAGCTACCAGGTCATCAAGTGACAGTAAGTCTCTTTTAATCGCAAGTTTAACTGATTGATTATGCTCATGTTTATGCTGATGCTCTTCACTCCAATTTTACCAATTAAATTTAATCTGGTTTGTTGCTCATGTTATTTGTACCAATTAATTGTAATTTGGTTTGTTAGTCAAGATTCTTTGAAAAATTGAAATAAAATTTACTATTTTAGCATGATTGTCATAACTCATAACTATCAAGAATTTAATCTACAATTCCTTAATATTAGCTGCTGGAATGTTCTTGAGAGAATATGTTTGATTCTTGACAACCACCACCAAATATTCTTCTAGGACCACCTTGGACTTTTTTAAATACAACAATATAAAAGTTAACAAAATATATATTTAAATGAAGAAGAGAGACCATGCATTTTGATTGGTTGTTACTTTTGTTAGCCTTTCATTTTATCTATTATAAATACAGCAGTCAGCAGATGTATGCATTTCATACCAAATATCCCTTATCTCACAATTTTAAACTTAGGTTACTACATAAGATGGTTGTATCATCTGTTCCTCGTATGGAACTAGAATTACCACCAAAACCTGTTCAAGAGCTAATTACGGCTACAAGCAAAGAAATTCCTGAAAGATTTATTTATCAGCTTCCAAACAAAGAAGCTGATGATTATTCTGATATTCAATATATGGATAGTAACATAATTGATCTTAGCCTCCTTAATGATTCATCATCAAACTTGCATGAACTAGAATTGCAAAAACTCCGATCCGTTCTTGCTTCATGGGGAGGTTTTCAGGTTGTTTTTGGCACTCCTTCAGAGTTCAGAGTTTAGACATGATCATACTTGCTGTTCTGTTTTTAGATCATCAGGTAGTTGACTGATTTGTGATTTGTTAATGTTTGTTTCAGCTTATAAATCATGGTGTATCAAGCTCCTTGCTACACCAAATCCGTGAAATTTGGAAGGAATTTATTGCTCTTCCTCTTGAAGTGAAGCAGAAACATTGCAGAACACTGGATTGGTATGAGGGCTATGGAGGTGATAAAGTTTCTGAGGATCAAAGGTATAATTGGAATGATAGACTGCGTTTCAAGGTTCACCCTCTTCATCAGCGTAATTACAAAATTTGGCCTGAATTCTTACCAACTTTCAGGTGATATTTTAATGCATAAAACGATGTATAGAGTACTAATTTGATGTGATATTTTCAAGGTTCACCTGTTATAGTTATACGTTGGCAGTAGTAGCATGTAGTATAGGCTCATAATAAGAAGGGTTGACTGTAAAAAAACCCAAAGTTTCAAGGCATCTCGAGTTCTTGACAGTCGTAGTCTTTGATCTTATATTTGTGTAAGCTAATGCTGATAATTTGTGGATATGTATGTAGGGAAACATTGGAGGGGTACACCATGGAGGTAACAAGAGTATTAGAAGTGATTCTGAAAGCTACTGCAAAATCGCTAAATTTAGAGGAAAGCAGCTTCTTGAATGCATGTGGAGGAAAAGACGGTATACATATGTTCACAAGATTCAACTTTTATCCTCCATGCCATTCCCCAGAACATGTTTTAGGTATCAAACCACATTCTGATGGTTCAGCAGTTACCATTCTTCTACAAGACAGTGAAGTCGAAGGTCTTCAAGTTGAGAAAGATAATCAATGGTTCAAAGTTCCCATTGTTCCTGATGCCCTCTTCATCAATATTGGTGATCAGTTGGAGGTAATTTGATGTCAGCAGACTCTGTATTCGATAATTGAGTGGGTGTCTCTGTATTCATTGGGCTTTGTCACTCCAAATTCCACAAGTCATCTTTGCGAATTTGGTTTTGCATGATTTGGGTGACTAAGCTCATTGTATACGAAGACATTATATTTATTGTGTACAAGTGTTTGCGACTTGACAAACTATATTCACTGATATCTTGATTAAAATTTGCTATTCCTTTTCAATATACGAAAGATAACTTTCATATAGTGGTCAAACTTGTTACTTTGTTAGTATTTGACTCTAAAAGGCCAAATATTTAATGTTTTCTTGGTCCATATTCATTTGCTACAATTGATTGCTTGCGATCTCAAAGAAAAAAAAAGTTGATATTTTGACAACAAATAAGATTAGGTCATGTTACCGATGTACATAATATTTGATGTATAGTTTGCATAAATTTGTGAATAGTTGTTACTTACATATAGCTTTCTCTTCTCCTAAATTCCACATATTGAACTTTTGACCTTTAAGAACTAAACTTATTAGCCTTCAACTCTGTTAAAATTAGCTTATTTGGCCTTTATTTAATTTGATATTGGGAAGTATATTATTGTGTTGTTGATTCAATATTTGAAGTTAATTAATTATACTTAAGAGTTGATTCGTTATATAACGTGGTAGAGTTATTTCTTATAAATGGGGCTTTGAAAACTGATGGAGAACTATTTGGATGTATACAGATAACGAGTAATGGTATATTAAAGAGTGTAGTGCACAAAGTGGTGATAGATAAGGAAAGAGGAAGGACGTCGGTGGCTATGTTTTGTGCTCCACACCCAGACAAAGACATAGGACCACTCTGTGAGCTTATTGACAAGGAAAGACCCCAATTATACAATACTGTCAAAAATTATTTTGGTGATTTATTCTTTCAGTACTATCCGAAAGGAGAAAGATCCATATCTACTGTGAAACTCTAAAAATGGAACGATCCAAGTTTATATGTTGTGTCAGAAACAAGTAATTGTGTATTTTAATAACGTACATAATTCATCGAAAATAAGATAGTGTACATTAGGCTTTGCTTTGCTTAATGAGGATGAGCAGCTGTAATTGTTTTTTGGGTTGTCTGTCTCTGCTTTGTATCTTGTACTTCAGATATGCAATTTAAGCTTTGGTGTTAAAACCTCAAGATTACATTTGAACGAATAAGTGTTACTCAAGTGTGTTCAAGAAATTATGCAATTGGAAAGGTTGATTAAATAATAGTATCATTTAATCAAATGATCAGTTTAAGCAAACGCGCATACACACCAGCATACATAATTTAATAAGGGTTGCTACACTTAATCACCTCAGTAGATAATTTGAAACAAAGTGGGTGAGAGATTACTTAAATCTTTCTATATAAAGTGTATATCTATATTTTATGACATCATATAGGACAGTTCAGAAGTTATGACTATTTTGTCATTTAAGGAAGGTAATCTCATTGTTTTGGCAAGTGTTAGATTTAATAATTTGTACTTGCATCTCTCTACTTTTCTAATCCTTATCAGGTTAGAATCACCAAGTAAGATGGCTGTATCATTTATTCCTCCTATGAAGCTTGGATCTTCTTACAAACCAGTTCAAGAACTGATCAAAACCACTGGCGAAGAGGTCCCAGAAAGATGTACATACCAGCTTTCGAGCAAACCAGTTGACCAGACTGATATTGAATATATGGACAGCCCAATGATTGATCTTAGCCTCCTTTCAGCTTTGTTGTCATGTCAACACAAAGAAGAATTACGAAAACTTAAATCTGTTCTCAGTTCCTGGGGTTGCTTACAGGTTTGTTTTGGAAGCCTTTAAGCTTTTGAACAGTTTTTTTCCCCCCCCAAGAGTACTTGTTGTCTTAGATCATCAGATCAGGATGTTTGTTTTGCAAATTCATTCATGTTTTCAGCTTGTAAATCATGGTTTATCGAGCTCGTTGCTTGACCAAGTGCATGAAACTAGCAAGGGATTCTTTGCTCTGCCTCTAGACGTAAAACAGCAATACAAGACATTGGTTTGGCTTGAAGGTTATGGAGTTGATCAAGTTTCAGAGGGTCAGGGCTATGACTGGAATGACAGACTTCGCCTCAAAGTTTATCCTCTTGATCACCGAAATTTCAAGCTTTGGCCTGAAATTTTACCAAAATTTAGGTAATAACTATGTACATAATACAATAAGAGAATCATGTATTACACAATACTCCTCAAAACCTCACTTTTACATTATTTCATTATTTGTCAACTAAATTACACCAGAGTTGATGAATTGAAGCATATTATTGTAGGGAAACATTGGAGGAGTACACTATGGAAGTGAGAAGAGTACTAGAAATTATCTTGAAAGCGATTGCAAAATTGCTTAATTTAGAAGAAGACATCTTCTTGAAAGAGTGTGGAGGAGCAGAAGCAATTGATATGTTTACAAGATTCAACTATTATAAGCCATGTTCATCCTCAGATGAAGTTTTAGGTTTTAAACCACATTCTGATCTTACAGCAATTACCATTCTTCTACAAGACAAAGAAGTTGAAGGCCTTCAAGTTGAGAAAGATGGCCAATGGTTTAAAGTTCCTATTGCTTCTAATGCCCTTTTTGTCAATGTTGGTGACCAATTGGAGGTAATGCCCTTTTTAAAGTTCCTATTATTGCAATTATAGGCCTTTTTTCCTCTCTTTTTTTCCTCTTTTTTTTTTTTTTTTTTTTTTTTTTTTTTTTTTTTTTTTTTTGTCTCACAATTTTTGTGACTTCCTGTACTGGCTGATGACCATATGTTACTCAAATCATTAAAGATAAATTCGCAAAAATATTACTATTTGATCTAGGGGTATCTCATGTGCAGAGATGTAAATCGAACCCTCTCACGGGTGGAAAGGAGTGGCCTCATTCATTATGTGAAACCCTTGTATATATACACACACGTGCACACACGTATGCTACCAAATAAGAGAGATTTTACAGAATACAGGATATGAATTTGGACCATATAGATGCAGATGATATGCACAAATGTACTTGCAATTCAACGGTGTGCTGTTTATCTGCAATCTGCAGTTAAGTAATTCATAAGATATTTGATTTTGTGTGACAAAAAGAGGGGTTGATCATGAACTGATGAAGGAAATTATGTATGTATGCAGATAATGAGTAATGGCATATTGAAGAGTGTAATGCACAAGGCAGTGGTAGATAAGGAGAAAGAACGGACATCTGTGGTTATGATATGTGCTCCACACCCAAACAAAGAAATCGGACCGCTTAGTGAGCTTGTCAACGAGGAAATGCCGCAGGTGTACAAAAGGGTCAAGAATTATATCCAGCTTTGTTCTTCCAGCATTATCAATAAAGGAGAAATAGGCATCAATGCAATGAAAATCTAAGCTATCCTACTACAATAAGTTGCAATTTGATCATTGTGTTATGCCCTACTGCCAGGGACTTAACTCTGATCCCTAGATACAACCTACTCATCGAGTACTCGTAGAGTCATAGTAGTAATTAATGATACTACTACATTTACATGTTACTTGTAGAAGTTACGAAAATAAATAGACTACACGTTTCGGACTTATTGCCACAAACATTTTTGCAGAATTTAAGGTATAACTAAACCTTAAATACCTTTTGATTGCGTGATTTAATAAAAATCTATGTATTGGTCGATCTTATATGTCTACTATGTCTTTCTTGTAACACGTTATTTGAGTAGGAGGGATCAACTAATAAATGAGAGATAGGTATCAGTAACTAACTACAGAGTACATTAGTTGGTTGTTACTTGTTAGCCTTTCATCTGTATCATTTATGTGAAAGCTTCTATATAAACAACATACTGTATCTAAGTTACATCTTATCTATTCTGTCTTTTTTCACTATCTTCATCTAAGAATCATCAAGTAAATGGCTGTATTATCTTTTCCTGCTATGAATCTTGAACTCCCATCAAAATCTGTTCAAGAATTGATCAAATCTACTGTCAAAGAGGTCCCGGAAAAATATAGAGTCCAACTTCCAAACATATCAGATGATAATCACTCTGAGATTCAATATATGGACAGTCCAGTAATTGATCTTGGCCTACTTTCAGCTGCATCATCAAGCCTACACGAAGAAGAACTACGAAAACTAAGATCTGTTCTTGATTCCTGGGGTTGCTTACAGGTTTGTTTTAAGCACTTTTTGCCATAATATATATTTCTGAAGTGCTTGCTGATATATCATTAGACTGATAGTTTTGCAACTTTGCTGATGTTTTTTCAGGTTATTAATCATGGGTTATCGAGCTCGTTACTTGATAATATCCGTGAACTCGGGAAGGATTTCTTTGCTCTGCCATTAGAAGAAAAACAGAAGCATAGCAGAACATTGGAATGGTTTGAGGGTTATGGAGGTGATACAGTTTCTGAGGGTCAGAATTACAACTGGAATGAGACTGCATCTCAGAATTCATCCTCTTGATCAGAGAAATTTCAAGTTTTGGCCTGAATATATACCAAATTTCAGGTTATAATTTTCTGCATACAATCATATACTATATGATGAACCTCAAAAATATAATTCTGTTTTATTTTACACGAAAGTTGATAAATATGAGCATATTGCAGGGTAACACTGGAGGAGTACGCCATGGAAGTGAGGAGAGTGACAAAAACCATCCTAAACGCAATTTGAAAAATCACTCAAGTTAGACAAAAACAGCTTTATGAGGGAGTCTGGAGGAGAGGAAGCCATAAACATGTTCACAAGATTCAATTATTATCCGCCATGTTCAACACCAGCACAAGTTGTCGGCCTTAGGCCACATTCTGATGGTACATTAATAACCATTCTCCTGCAAGACAAACAAGTCGAAGGCCTTCAAGTTCAGAAAGATGATCAGTGGTTTAAAGTTCCCATTATTCCGAATGCCCTTTTATCAACATTGGTGACCAATTGGAGGTAATTTGACAAGAAGTTTACTTCTATTACTGCAATAATAGATAGACCTTTTGTGCTTTTGTTCTGTTTTTGACCAAGTTACAAATTGCTAACTTTATTTAGCTCTATTCATGACTATACATGATCAAATTATAGGGGCATCGAACTTAAAGAGGGTAAGATTGAACCCTCTCAGAACGGTGGATAGGGAAGGCCTCGGTACTAGGCCAAAGTGTACAACCACGAGCACAAGCGCAAGCACAAACACGTACACTACCAAATAGTACATATGTATCCATTTTTTTCAGCAAATGATAACCATTAAGTTTTGAATTTATTTTATCATATACTGATTTACAAGTATATAAAATTTATCATATACTGATATACAAGTATATAAAGACAATTGTAGCCTATTGGCAAGTTAAGACAATTATGATTACTGATTAAGAAAATGTGTTGTATGCAGATAATGAGCAGTGGCATACTGAAGAGTACAGTGCACAAGGTTGTGATAGATAAGGAGAAAGAACGGATTTCTGTGGCTACAGTTAGTACTCCACACTTCGACAAAGAGATTGGACCATTAAGCGAGCTAATTGATGAGAATAGGCCGCAATTGTACAAGAAGATCTAGAATTATGTGAGTTTTTTCTTCCAATACTACTCAAAAGGAGAAATAGCAATCCCTGCAATGAAAATCTGAACCTGTGGCTAAATTGTTATCGAAAAACCAGGCCAGTGAGTAGTTAACATCAAGGTTGTGTACATCCAAACGTCTCTAAATAATGGATGGTTGTTGTTGATGTAATCATGTACTCTAAGTAGTTTTTAAAGGAAACATGGTTTCCTTTGCAATATCTGTATGCTTGTGGGCAGTCGTGTTAAGTCTCTCAGCTTTAATTTATGTAAGGTAAACTTATAATAAGATAAGTGACTTAAGTTTATGGATATTAGACCTTTTGATTTCGTTCTTTATTCACACATTTTGTCACGAAATAGCAATATGTTGAGGTAAGTTCAAATAAAGTTTGATATTAACTTGGATATACACATACACACAAATCAAATATTGCAAGAACAAGTTTATGATATAAATATATGTTGGGGGGCACCATAAAAAAATGAAAAGATTATTTTCTTAGGGGAAAGATATCTAGAAAAAGGAATAAAATTCCTAAACTTTGACTCACCCATATTCCATTACAATACATATTGCATAACAAACAAGCATCTATCATTTTGACCTAAATTTCCTAAAATATAAGAACTAATTTTTTATATAAGCTTATCATTTATTGAGGTCATTTCCTTCCAATTCTTTTTGCCTTAATATTTTTCCCTTTCTTTTTCTTGAAAAGTTGCGTACAATTAGAAGAACTAAAGATGAATTCATCAAAGAAGTTGGCTAAAATTACCCTAATTTACCCATCATTGAATGAATCCGAAAAGAAGATTCGAGCTGTAAAATTTGTGAAATTATCGAGATCATTTATACAGATTAATGAAAAATTAATGGAAATAAGAGAATTTAATGAGTGATGGAGGACATGCAATGAGAATTATATACAATGAGAATTATATACAATTAGATTAATGCCAGTTGAAATCATATAGTGAAATGATCGTTGTTGAAAATTTTCAACTTCAATTTAAATTTGAATAGAAATTGGAAAAACATAAATTTTTGAAAAATTAAACTACCATGAGAAGGGGATTATAATTTAATGATTGTTCGTTTAAGGGGTGAATCAAATTATTCACTTTGGAAAGTGAAGTGTTTAGACGGAAAATCAGGGAGGAAGAACCAAAATTGGGTTTTTATATTCTTTTCATATTCTCTGACTTTACGCCTGATATGTTTTTTTTTTTTTTTTTTTTTTTTTTTTTTTTTTTTTTTTTTTTTTTGGGGGGGGGGGGTGGGGCCTTCCGTTAAGTGAATTTGGGCTTCTCAAGTTGGGGGCCAGGGCGGTTGCCTCAGCAGACTTGCCCTTGCTGCGACCCTGAATATTTTTCGAGGACCACAGTGGAATCTTCTTGGACTTTTTTTTAATACAACAATATACTCCATCTATCCTAATTTACTTGCAACATTTTGACTGGACACGCTTGCCGATGCACATGTTTGACCGTTGATATCTTTTATTATATATTTATATAAGTTATAAAAAGTTTATATTAAATAACTATACATTAAAATAGACCCAACAACATCTTACATGATGACATTGACTTTCATATAATAGATAAAAAAGATGGTCAAAGGGAGATGTGTGAATAGTGCAAAAAGTCAAACCGTTGCAAGTAATTTGGGACGGAGGGAGTAAAAGTTAACAAAATATATATTTAAATGATGAAGAGAGACCATGCATTTTGATTGGTCATGGCCAACTTAACTATTGTACATTTAACATAAATTTTTACAATATTTAATAGATGAACAAAACCAAGGGGAAGGTCATGGCCCACTCCACCCCTTTGGTTACGCCACTGAACTAGATAATGCCTGAGCCATACTCGGGTTTTAAAATGAATACAAATTAGTAATTAAAATAAAGATAGACAAATTATATATAGATTTGTAGATAATATAATGATTTTTCAAATAAAAAATGTAGAGTTTATAATGGAAAATTCCCCCAAAAAAAAAATCTCACTTTAGTATAGAATATAGATAGATCATAGGTATAGATTTGTAGATAATTTATGATTTTCAAAAAAAAAAAAAAAAAAAAAAAAAGGGGGGGGGGGTTTAGGAGGGAAAATACCCTCAAAAAATAATCTCACTTTAGTATAGGATATAGATACTATTACCTCATTTAGGCCCTGTTCTTTTGAGCTTCTGGACAGAGCAGAGCAAATTTCAGCAGAGCAAAGCAAAGCAAAACAGATTTCAGCAGAGCAGAGAGCAGATTTTATTATTATTATCATTATTATCATTATTACTACTATTACTACTACTACTACTACTACTACTACTACTACTACTACTACTCCTGCTGCTGCTGCTACTTATAATCATTAAATTTTTAAAGTTAAATATTTATTATTATTATATTAATTATAATTATTATTAAATATTATTTAATTATTATTATTAAAAATTAATAATTAGTAATATCTTTAAATATTAGTCATTATCTTAATATTAATTGCTATTATAAAAATCAATTATTGTTATTATAATTAATATTATTAGTTACAAATATTATTATTACTGTTAGTATAATTACTATTATTACTATTATTATTATTATTAAATATTAATTATTATTGTTATTACTATTATTATTTTTATTAATAATTATTAATAATTTATTATTATTATTATTATTAAATATTAATAATTATTTATTATTTTTTTTATTTTTTTTATTAAATATCAATAATTAATTATTGTTATTATTATTATTAAGTATTAATTATTATTATAATTAAATATTAATTATTTATTATTATTAAATATTATTTATTTATGATTATTATTATTATAAAATATTAATTATTATTATTATTGAATATTAAATATTAAGTATTTATTATTATTAAATATTAATTATTATTATTATAATAATTTAATATTAAGTATTAATTTTAAGTAGAGCAGAGCAGGGCAGAGCAGAGCAGAGCAGAGCAGATTTCAGCAAAGCAGATTTCAGCAGAGCAGAGCAGAGCAAATCAGCTCTAAAGAACGGGGCCTTAGAACCCTAAATATATTGTTTAGTTTTTTAAAAATGAATGATGTAAAGGAAAAATT